TCAAAAATCTATTGCTGCTAATATTTTTTTCATCGAAAATCTATTGCTGCTAATATTTTTTCCGTCAAAAATCTATTGCTGTTAATATTTTTCATCAAAAATCTATTGCTGGTAATATTTTTTCATCAAAAATCTATTGCTGTTAATATTTTTTTTATCGAAAATCTATTGCTGGTAATATTTTTTCATCGAAAATCTATTGGTAGTAATATTTTTTTCATCAAAAATCTATTGCTGCTAATATTTTTTTCGTCAAAAATCTATTGCTGGTAATATTTTTTTCATCGAAAATCTATTGCTGGTAATATTTTTTCATCAAAAATCTATTGTTGCTAATATTTTTTCATCAAAAATGTATTGCTACTAATATTTTTAATCAAAAATCTATGGCTGGTAATATTTTTTCATCAAAAATCTATTGCTGTTAATATTTATTTCATCGAAAATCTATTTGTAAATAAATTTTTCAAAAAAATCTATTATTGGTAATATTTTTTTCATCAAAAATCTATTGCTGCTAATATTTTTTTCATCAAAAATCTATTGCTGCTAATATTTTTCCGTCAAAAATCTATTGCTGTTAATATTTTTCATCAAAAATCTATTGCTGGTAATATTTTTTTCATCGAAAATCTATTGCTGGTAATATTTTTTCATCAAAAATCTATTGCTGCTAATATTTTTTTCATCAAAAATCTATTGCTGCTAATATTTTTTTCGTCAAAAATCTATTGGTGGTAATATTTTTTTCATCAAAAATCTATTGCTGATAATATTTTTTTATCAAAAATCTATTGCTGGTAATATTTTTTTCATCGAAAATCTGTTAGTGGTAATATTTTTTTCATCAAAAATCTATTGCTGCTAATATTTTTTTGTCAAAAATCTATTGTTGCTAATATTTTTTTCATCGAAAATCTATTGCTGGTAATATTTTTTTCATCGAAAATCTATTAGTGCTAATATTTTTTTCATCAAAAATCTATTGCTGCTAATATTTTTTTCTTCAAAAATCTATTGCTGTTAATATTTTTTCATCAAAAATCTATTGCTGGTAATATTTTTTTCATCGAAAGTCTATTGCTGGTAATATTTTTTTCATCAAAAATCTATTGCTGCTAATATTTTTTTCGTCAAAAATCTATTGCTGTTAATATTTTTTCATCAAAAATCTATTGCTAGTAATATTTTTTTCATCAAAAATCTATTGCTGATAATATTTTTTTCGTCAAAAATCTATTGGTGGTAATATTTTTTTCATCAAAAATCTATTGCTGCTAATATTTTTTTCATCAAAAATCTATTGCTGCTAATATTTTTTTCGTCAAAAATCTATTGCTGTTAATATTTTTTCATCAAAAATCTATTGCTGGTAATATTTTTTCATCGAAAATCTATTGCTGGTAATATTTTTTCATCGAAAATCTATTGCTGGTAATATTTTTTTCATCAAAAATCTATTGCTGCTAATATTTTTTTCATCAAAAATCTATTGCTGTTAATATTTTTTCATCAAAAATCTATTGCTGGTAATATTTTTTTCATCGAAAATCTATTGCTGGTAATATTTTTTCATCGAAAATCTATTGCTGTTAATATTTTTTTCATCAAAAATCTATTGCTGCTAATATTTTTTTCGTCAAAATCCTATTGCTGTTAATATTTTTTCATCAAAAATCTATTGCTGGTAATATTTTTTTCATCGAAAATCTATTGCTGTTAATATTTTTTCATCGAAAATCTATTGGTTGTAATATTTTTTTCATCAAAAATCTATTGCTGCTAATATTTTTTTCGTCAAAAATCTAATGCTGTTAATATTTTTTCATCAAAAATCTATTGCTGGTAATATTTTTTTTCAAAAATATATTGCTGGTAATAATGCATTTTTGTCAATATTTTTTTACACAAAAAGTATTTCTGGTATTAAAACATATTTTTACACTTTCATGGTGTTTTGACCCCAGTTTAGGAGTTAACTATTTGCTCATAGCTGGAACCCTAACAGGTGCTACGACACCGGGAACACCAGCAATCAAGAGATCGTTCCACGCTCCTCAAAACCTCCTGATCAGAGGCTTTGCTCTTGGATGTACTTTATCGTCTTACACATGATGGTCAAAATTTCTCTCTTAGCAATAAGAAATTTATTAAAAAAATATTGTCAGATTTTGTTTTTGGTTTCTTTTATTTTACGGCATATCAACTGCAACTGGTTATTTATTGATTACACAATTTTGAGGATAGTTTCGTATGAATAGAATATGTATTCTCTGTAAGAAATCAGTTTGTAGATCAGGTTTCATTGATGTATTTTGGTTTCTTCTGTTTAACGGCATATCAACCTCAACGTGTTATTTAAAGATTTTTATTGCTGGTAATATTTTTATTTAAAAATGTATTGCTGGTAATATTTATTTCCAAAAAGGTATTGCGGGTAATAATTTCTTCCTTCAAAATTGCTGATAATAACTTTTTCCTTCAAAAAGTTCATTGCTGGTAATAATTTTTCCTTCAAAAAAAGTTCATTGCTGGTAACAATTTTTTGCAAAAATGTATCGCTGTTACTAAAACCTATTTTTACACTTTCATAATGTTTTTACCTCAATTTAGTGGTTAACTATTTGCCCATAGCTGGGACCCTTACAGGTGCTACCACCCTGAGTTAAGGTGGGCCTGGGAACACCAGCAATTAAGAGCTGGTTCTACGCTTCTCAAAACCTCCTGATTAGAAGCCTTGTTTGTTGGATGTAGTTTATCGTCTTATCCAGGACGTGGATGCAGATTATCGTCTTACCCTGGACGCGGATGTAGTTTCTCGTCTTACGCAGGACGCTTGCAAACTCTTGATTCTTTTATTATACAAAATAAACAGCCCATATTAAATAAGATATCATTTACCGCAAGAGATGCTATCTTGAAATGTATAAAATATAATTGATCGGTGCACATATTATATTAATATCAAAATTGAATTAATTATTTGATAATATGAAATAAAATAAATAAATTGCATATTTTGTACTGCCTCGTTCCCAGTAGCAGTAACACATGACGTCATATTAGACCATTTCAAACGTCCAGCGTCCGAATGATTACGAAGATGCAGAAAAAATAGTTACAGCTACTACAATGATACACATCAGTTCTTGATAATGAGTCGAAAGTCGAAATGCTTAAACAAAAATTTAAAAAGATAAATGAATTTCGGACAGTTTATCAACAACTTTGATCATAATATCCGGGAAAACGCTGTTTCATTAGAAATAAAGAAATATATTTATATCAATTAAATATATTTCATATCAATTTCACTTTTCAAGAAATATATTTCATATCAATTTCACTTTTCATTAGAAATAAAGAAATATATTTCATATCAATTTCACTTTTCATTAGAAATAAAGAAATATATTTCATATCAATTTCACTTTTCAAGATATATATTTCATATCAATTTCACTTTTCATTAGAAATAAAGAAATATATTTCATATCAATTTCACTTTTCAAGAAATATATTTCATATCAATTTCACTTTTCATTAGAAATAAAGAAATATATTTCATATCAATTCTTCTATGTGGCTGTGAATGTTAGAGAGTTTCTTGCGGATGAAGAAGAAACCTAAGACAACAGAGATATCGTTCTTCAGCAGAATGTCCAGAATATCTTAGACGGATCATGCGAGAAATAAGGAAGTTTAAAAGAAAATGGGAAGAAAAGTAGCAACGTAATCATCAACAAAACCTAACGCCTTCTCCTACCTATGCCGTACATGGCTGAAGTAATCGGGCGTCATCTGATTCTTGAATATGATTGGCTGATTCCTCAGTAGCAGAAGCTCAGCCGTACTCGATATAGACATCTTTTTTTTTTTTACCCCAGAGTGGTTGATTTCTAGCGGGATCCATTTATCATTCATTGTTCAATATTTGTCTCTAGGTTTCAACACAATTCTGAGCGTGTGAAACGACCAGTCTCTGGATAACTCACAGTACATCCGACACTTAGAATCAGAAATAGACAGTTGAAATTCCTTGAATATATATTGATAAAAAGATGGCTTGGAGAATGTGACACTCATAGGGCATATTGCAGGCAAGAGGGACAGAGGGAAAGAGCGAATAACTTACGTAATGTGTTTTTGTAAATGGATAGAAGAACAGAGAGTGAAAAGAATAAGGAAATAAAACTTACTTAGAGATACAAACGGAACGATAGGACGTTGTGTAGGGCAATGAACTCCCATGTCCTGTACACCGATCAATTACAACTCGTGTAATACTGAAATGTTTATTATTTATGATTGTATTTACTGTGTTCTTAGATTGTTTACTTATAAAAAAAAAGTCATTTCAATCTTTTTAAGCTCTCAAGCAGTTCAAAAGAAAAGACGAAATCTGATCATTTCTTTTCAACAACAGGTTTTGATTTCATAAACAAAGGCCAGTTGTAAAGACATCTGCGTCGCAACTTTTACCATTGATTCACTAATCAAAAATCAAACAAAACTGTCTCTCGAGGTTGTCTTCATTTTGATGGTGACCCTGCTCGATCGTCTGAGCTCTAGAATTTTATTGAGTACGGAGGCAATTTCAAAGACTATTTGGGTTCTGCAAAGGACTTCCTCAGCTTAACCTAATCTAGCACAGATCTACAACAGCGGAACTGTCGGTGAAAAGTCAAAAGTTTGAGATATTACCTTGAAAAATTAATGACAGACACACGTGAGCTTACCAAAATGAAAAGCACTGGATTGATTGATTCGTTGCAGGTTATTTAAAGCCAGAAAATATTTTTAGATTCTAAGAACATTTTTTTAGATAATAATGAGTTAGTGATACAAGTCTTACTAATTAACCTATAGCTGGGGGAGAAGAGAATATTCATACCTTTCCCAAGGGTATTTGTGCGTAAGTGAACCCAACGGGAATTGGAACTCGGCTCTCCGATTAACAATTCCGAGTTTATTATCCATTACATCAGCCACACATCCCGGCTTACAGCATCTGGTATACCCAAGCGGTCACCCATCTAAATACTGACTAGGCTCAACGTTAGTTAACTTCGGTGATAGTACGGGAACCTGTGTTTCACAGAGATGTGGGCGTAAACCCACAAATTGGAGATATCGAATCAAACAAGTACAACAATTTAAATACCTGGGAAATGTTTTAACAGAAGACTGAAAGTGTAACACTGAAATTCAAAGGAGTATTCAGATAGCGAAAGATGCAATTCAAAAGCTAAGCAAAGTAGTAAGGAACAGAAAAATTTCATTAGAAACAAATAGCACTGAACTAATATGTAATATCAATCCTCCTATTTAGCAGTGAATACTGGACAATGTCCTCACAGATGAATAAGAGACTTGAAGTAACAGAAATGTGGTTCTACAGAAGGATGTTGAGAATACCAGGGACTGAACATGTGCAACGACGAAGTTTTAGAGAAAAATTAAAACATATTTAACATTGACAGTTGAAATTTCTAGGAAACGAAATGAAGTAAGAGGGCTTGGAAAATTTGACACTCACAGGGCATATTGAAGGCAAAGGTGGACAGATGAAAACAACGTATAACCTTACCTAAAATGCTTGCGTAAATGGATGGCGTAACACGGTTTAGGAAAGATACAAAAAGACAAAAGTTATTACCTTCGCTGGTTCCTGGACTACATGAATTTGAACGAGCTACCAGGCTGCCATCTCGGTCCCACCTTTTCACTGTCAAAACGGTTAAATGTAACCGTCTCTTCTTCTCTCGCATTTCCGTCTGTGGAACTCCTTTCCCTTTACTTGCTTCTCCGATGACGCTAATCTTCAAATATTCAAGTGTAATGTCAATCGACATCTGACACTCTGAGCTTGTTCCCCATCCTTCTCTGATCCTTTCCTCATACACGCCTCTTTAATCCTCTGTTACTTGCCTTGCGTGCTTCTGGCATTCCCGCCATGCTTGGGGTGAATCGCCTTAAAAATGAATAGACTGAGATAGATAGATAGATAGATAGATAGATAGATAGATAGATAGATAGATAGATAGGTGCCTGCTTGGTCTCACGCTGTTCACTGACATGAGGTGGAATAAATTACACTGAATCAATAACTTCATTTACCGCAAGAAAAATTGGCTCTCTGTGTCGTGCCAGAAAGTTTTTCTCGTCTGAGTCCATCCTTCAAATCTATAAATCAACCATCCCTCCTTACTTTCCTTCCCCTTACTTGCTTCCCCGATGACTATAATCTTCAAATATTTAAAGGGTAATGTCAATCAACATCTGACACCCTGAGCTTGTTCTTCGTATCCTTCTCCTCCTTCCCTCAAACACGCCTCTTTACGCCTATTCTCAATCCTCTGTAACTCACCTTGCTTGGGATGAACTGCCTTTAAAAAAGCGCTACAAAGAAGAGAAAATTGCGGAGAGCCATGATCGCCGACGTCCTAAACGGACACGGTACATAAAAAAGAAGAAAAGTCTGGCACAGGGCTACAATACCTGTGCAACAAGTGAAGAGAGAAATCAATATACGGATATTATCTATAAAATAGGTTTTGAATGATTACACCAGGTGTTTATAATTGTGCATGCCTCTTTTATTGGGGAGGGGGGCAATTAAGTGCATGAAATCTTAATAAAATATTAATAACTGGATTAAGTTTAATAAAAAAAAGGTCACAACAATAGATGAAAAATATCATGAATGTCACAACAATAGATGAAAATCTCATGAAAACATTTGAGACATTCCTAAATATACATGAAAAGAAATTAGATTACTGATCTGACCCAGAACTTTATCAATCGCCATGAACGGATGTTCGCTCATGGAGAGCCCGTGCCTTGAGCGCTTATCGGGTCTTACACACAACCCAGACCTCAAGTGGAACTCGTATATACGATCTATCACTAAAGATGCCGGAAAAATGAAGGTTCCCTGTACCACTCCAGCAAAATACCTCACTCCTTCTACCATCCTCTACCTTTATAAGAATCGGATCAGGCCGGAAATGGAGTATTGCTGCCTATATGGACAGGAATTACCCAGTCTTCAAATTTCTCTCGATAGAATCCAAAAGCGTTTCTGCATTCTACAACCCCTTTCTTATAGATGAGAATTCTATCATTGAATATTGCTGCAGTATCTGGTCTGATGCTCCTACTGTATATTTAGAGATTCGTGATAAAACCCAAAGAACAATATGCAATGTTATTGGTCCTGACATTACACCTCGGCTTCAGTGACTTTACCGCCACTGCCTTAATGTAATTTTTCTTTTCTATAAATACTTTCGTGGTAACTGTTCTGATGAGCTTTCATCTTTGGTACATCTACTAATTTTAGCGCGATACTAGACTGACAACTCGGTCTAATCATTTTACAGTTGAAATGGCTAGATGTAGCCGTAAGTTCTATGCTAACAGTTTCTTCTTTCGCACTTCTCGCTTGTGGAACTCTCTTCCAGCTTATTGGTTTCCACTCAACTTTGATCTTCAAAAAATTAAATGCAATGTCAATCGTTTTCTTCTATCTCCTTAATTCTTTATTTTTTTATCAATCTCTCATCATAATAGTTTTTTTTTCTCTCACATTTTCTAATACCCAGTCACCGTTGCGTTTTAGTGGCTTTATTGCCTTACTAGGGATGAAATGATTAATAAAATATTGTTTTACATTATTAAATGTATGGTACTGTTTTTTTTATTTTTTTTTTTTTTACATGGAACAGAATTTTAAATTTATCTCTGATGTATTTATATGTATATTTATTTGTCTATGCATATCCTTTTGTTTATAATTTTTTTAAAGAAAGTAGACATTTTTCATTTATTTTAAAATATTTTTCTTTTCTTTATTTTTCGTCTGTGTTGATTTATTTGCAAAGAGTAAAATGGCTATTTTCATTTTGGCCCCCTGCCGAAAGTAAATGACGAAAATAGATAATAAAGAATGCCTCTGCAGATTCACGAGCTGACAAGCTGAATGTCAGACAAAACTAGAGAATAGTTTTATTTTGACGATATCGGCCAACGAGAAAAGGCATCTTAGCAAGTCCGATATAGTTACGTAAAGCCGTCTGCTTGCAATTCTACGGCATCATAAATGGCCTTCTTGGCATTCGGCAGACACCTTAGAAATGCCGAACTCAACCTTCCACATAACGACCGATTTCTTTCGTTTTAATCTCGTGTGAAAGCGAGACAGAAAACAGAAACGAGTATACAAAACGACAGAGTATCAATCAACCGAATTCAAAGATCTATAATTCTTATGGGACGGACAATATTTTTTTCATCGAAAATCTATTGCTGGTAATATTTTTTTCATCAAAAATCTATTGCTGTTAATATTTTTTCATCAAAAATCTATTGCTGCTAATAATTTTTCGTCAAAAATCTATTGCTGTTAATATTTTTTCATCAAAAATCTATTGCTGGTAATATTTTTTTCATCAAAAATCTATTGCTGGTAATATTTTTTTCGTCAAAAATATATTGCTGTTAATATTTTTTCATCAAAAATCTATTGCTGCTAATATTTTTTTCGTCAAAAATCTATTGCTGTTAATATTTTTTCATCGAAAATCTATTGCTGCTAATATTTTTTTTCATCGAAAATCTATTGCTGGTAATATTTTTTCATCGAAAATCTATTGCAGGTAATATTTTTTTCATCAAAAATCTATTGCTGCTAATATTTTTTTCATCAAAAATCTATTGCTGCTAATATTTTTTTCGTCAAAAATCTATTGCTGTTAATATTTTTTCATCAAAAATCTATTGCTGGTAATATTTTTTTCATCGAAAATCTATTGCTGCTAATATATTTTTCTTCAAAAATCTATTGCTGTTAATATTTTTTCATCAAAAATCTATTGCTGGTAATATTTTTTCATCAAAAATCTATTGCTGCTAATATTTTTTTCGTCAAAAATCTATTGCTGTTAATATTTTTTCATCAAAAATCTATTGCTGGTAATATTTTTTCATCAAAAATCTATTGCTGCTAATATTTTTTTCATCAAAAATCTATTGCTGCTAATATTTTTTTCTTCAAAAATCTATTGCTGTTAATATTTTTTCATCAAAAATCTATTGCTGGTAATATTTTTTCATCAAACATCTATTGCTGCTAATATTTTTTTCGTCAAAAATCTATTGCTGTTAATATTTTTTCATCAAAAATCTATTGCTGTTAATATTTTTTCATCAAAAATCTATTGCTGCTAATATTTTTTTCGTCAAAAATCTATTGCTGTTAATATTTTTTCATCGAAAATCTATTGCTGCTAATATTTTTTTCATCGAAAATCTATTGCTGGTAATATTTTTCATCGAAAATCTATTGGTGGTAATATTTTTTTCATCAAAAATCTATTGCTGCTAATATTTTTTTCATCAAAAATCTATTGCTGCTAATATTTTTTTCGTCAAAAATCTATTGCTGTTAATATTTTTTCATCAAAAATCTATTGCTGGTAATATTTTTTTCATCGAAAATCTATTGCTGGTAATATTTTTTCATCGAAAATCTATTGCTGCTAATATTTTTTTCATCAAAAATCTATTACTGCTAATATTTTTTTCATCAAAAATCTATTGCTGCTAATATTTTTTTCGTCAAAATCCTGTTGCTGTTAATATTTTTTCATCAAAAATCTATTGCTGGTAATATTTTTTTCATCGAAAATCTATTGCTGTTAATATTTTTTCATCGAAAATCTATTGGTGGTAATATTTTTTTCATCAAAAATCTATTGCTGCTAATATTTTTTTCGTCAAAAATCTAATGCTGTTAATATTTTTTCATCAAAAATCTATTGCTGGTAATATTTTTTTTCAAAAATATATTGCTGGTAATAATGCATTTTTGTCAATATTTTTTTACACAAAAAGTATTTCTGGTATTAAAACCTATTTTTACACTTTCATGGTGTTTTGACCCCAGTTTAGGAGTTAACTATTTGCTCATAGCTGGAACCCTAACAGGTGCTACGACACCGGGAACACCAGCAATCAAGAGATCGTTCCACGCTCCTCAAAACCTCCTGATCAGAGGCTTTGCTCTTGGATGTACTTTATCGTCTTACACATGATGGTCAAAAATTTCTCTCTTAGCAATAAGAAATTTATTAAAAAATATTGTCAGATTTTGTTTTTGGTTTCTTTTATTTTACGGCATATCAACTGCAACTGGTTATTTATTGATTACACAATTTTGAGGATAGTTTCGTATGAATAGAATATGTATTCTCTGTAAGAAATCAGTTTGTAGATCAGGTTTCATTGATGTATTTTGGTTTCTTCTGTTTAACGGCATATCAACCTCAACGTGTTATTTAAAGATTTTTATTGCTGGTAATATTTTTATTTAAAAATGTATTGCTGGTAATATTTATTTCCAAAAAGATATTGCGGGTAATAATTTCTTCCTTCAAAATTGCTGATAATAACTTTTTCCTTCAAAAGTTCATTGCTGGTAATAATTTTTTCCTTCAAAAGTTCATTGCTGGTAACAATTTTTTTGCAAAAATGTATCGCTGTTACTAAAACCTATTTTTACACTTTCATAATGTTTTTTACCTCAATTCAGTGGTTAACTATTTGCCCATAGCTGGGACCCTTACAGGTACTACCACCCTGAGTTAGGGTGGGGCCTGGGAACACCAGCAATTAAGAGCTGGTTCTACGCTTCTCAAAACCTCCTGATTAGAAGCCTTGTTTGTTGGATGTAGTTTATCGTCTTATCCAGGACGTGGATGCAGATTATCGTCTTACCCTGGACGCGGATGTAGTTTTCTCGTCTTACGCAGGACGCTTGCAAACTCTTGATTCTTTTATTATACAAAATAAACAGCCCATATTAAATAAGATATCATTTACCGCAAGAGATGTTATCTTGAAATGTATAAAATATAATTGATCGGTGCACATATTATATTAATATCAAAATTGAATTAATTATTTGATAATATGAAATAAAATAAATAAATTGCATATTTTGTACTGCCTCGTTCCCAGTAGCAGTAACACATGACGTCATATTAGACCATTTCAAACGTCCAGCGTCCGAATGATTACGAAGATGCAGAAAAAATAATTACAGCTACTACAATGATACACATCAGTTCTTGATAATGAGTCGAAAGTCGAAATGCTTAAACAAAAATTTAAAAAGATAAATGAATTTCGGACAGTTTATCAACAACTTTGATCATAATATCCGGGAAAACGCTGTTTCATTAGAAATAAAGAAATATATTTATATCAATTAAATATATTTCATATCAATTTCACTTTTCATTAGAAATAAAGAAATATATTTCATATCAATTTCACTTTTCATTAGAAATAAAGAAATATATTTCATATCAATTTCACTTTACAAGAAATATATTTCATATCAATTTCACTTTTCATTAGAAATAAAGAAATATATTTCATATCAATTTCACTTTTCATTAGAAATAAAGAAATATATTTCATATCAATTTCACTTTTCAAGAAATATATTTCATATCAATTTCACTTTTCATTAGAAATAAAGAAATATATTTCATATCAATTCTTCTATGTGGCTGTGAATGTTAGAGAGTTTCTTGCGGATGAAGAAGAAACCTAAGACAACAGAGATATCGTTCTTCAGCAGAATGTCCAGAATATCTTAGACGGATCATGCGAGAAATAAGGAAGTTTAAAAAGAAAATGGGAAGAAAAGTAGCAACGTAATCATCAACAAAACCTAACGCCTTCTCCTACCTATGCCGTACATGGCTGAAGTAATCGGGAGTCATCTGATTCTTGAATATGATTGGCTGATTCCTCAGTAGCAGAAGCTCAGCCGTACTTGATATAGACTTTTTTTTTTACCCCAGAGTGGTTGATTTTTAGTGGGATCCATTTATCATTCATTGTTCAATATTTGTCTCTAGGTTTCTTATTTATGATTGTATTCACTGTGTTCTTAGATTGTTTACTTATAAAAAAAAGTCATTTCAATCTTTTAAGCTCTCAAGCAGTTCAAAAGAAAAGACGAAATCTGATCATTTTTTTTTTCAACAACAGGTTTTGATTTCATAAACAAATTTCATAAACAAAGGTCAGTTGTAAAGACATCTGCGTCGCAACTTTTACCATTGATTTACCAATCAAAAATCAAACAAAACTGTCTCTCGAGGTTGTCTTCATTTTGATGGTGACCCTGCTCGATCGTCTGAGCTCTAGAATTTTATTGAGTACGGAGGCAATTTCAAAGACCATTTGGGTTCTGCAAAGGACTTCCTCAGCTTAACCTAATCTAGCACAGATCTACAACAGCGGAACTGTCGGTGAAAAGTCAAAAGTTTGAGATATTACCTTGAAAAATTAATGACAGACACACGTGAGCTTACCAAAATGAAAAGCACTGGATTGATTGATTCGTTGCAGGTTATTTAAAGCCAGAAAATATTTTTTAGATTCTAAGAACATTTTTAGATAATAATGAGTTAGTGATACAAGTCTTACTAATTAACCTATAGCTGGGGGAGAAGAGAATATTCATACCTTTCCCAAGGGTATTTGTGCGTAAGTGAACCCAACGGGAATTGGAACTCGGCTCTCCGATTAACAATTCCGAGTTTATTATCCATTACATCAGCCACACATCCCGGCTTACAGCATCTGGTATACCCAAGCGGTCACCCATCTAAATACTGACTAGGCTCAACGTTAGTTAACTTCGGTGATAGTACGGGAACCTGTGTTTCACAGAGATGTGGGCGTAAACCCACAAATTGGAGATATCGAATCAAACAAGTACAACAATTTAAATACCTGGGAAATGTTTTAACAGAAGACTGAAAGAGTAACACTGAAATTCAAAGGAGTATTCAGATAGCGAAAGATGCAATTCAAAAGCTAAGCAAAGTAGTAAGGAACAGAAAAATTTCATTAGAAACAAATAGCACTGAACTGATATGTAATATCAATCCTCCTATTTAGCAGTGAATACTGGACAATGTCCTCACAGATGAATAAGAGACTTGAAGTAACAGAAATGTGGTTCTACAGAAGGATGTTGAGAATACCAGGGACTGAACATGTGTGCAACGACGAAGTTTTAGAGAAAATTAAAACATATTTAACATTGACAGTTGAAATTTCTAGGAAACGAAATGAAGTAAGAGGGCTTGGAAAATTTGACACTCACAGGGCATATTGAAGGCAAGGTGGACAGATGAAAACAACGTATAACCTTACCTAAAATGCTTGCGTAAATGGATGGCGTAACACGGTTTAGGAAAGATAACAAAAAGACAAAAGTTATTACCTTCGCTGGTTCCTGGACTACATGAATTTGAACGAGCTACCAGGCTGCCATCTCGGTCCCACCTTTTCACTGTCAAAACGGTTAAATGTAACCGTCTCTTCTTCTCTCGCATTTCCGTCTGTGGAACTCCTTTCCCTTTACTTGCTTCTCCGATGACGCTAATCTTCAAATATTCAAGTGTAATGTCAATCGACATCTGACACTCTGAGCTTGTTCCCCATCCTTCTCTGATCCTTTCCTCATACACGCCTCTTTAATCTTGTTCTCAATCCTCTGTTACTTGCCTTGCGTGCTTCTGGCATTGCCGCCATGCTTTGGGTGAATCGCCTTAAAAATGAATAGACTGAGATAGATAGATAGATAGATAGATAGATAGATAGATAGATAGATAGATAGATAGATAAGAGGCTGATATTGATAACTATGAAAGCAGATAGATAGATGAGAACAGACTGAGATAGATAGATAGATAGATAGATAGATAGATAGATAGATAGATAGATAGATAGAAATGAACAGACTGAGATAGATAGATAGATAGATAGATGCCTGCTTGGTCTTACGCTGTCCACTGACATGAGGTGGAATAAATTACACTGAATCAATAACTTCATTTACCGCAAGAAAAGTTGGCTCTCTGTGTCGTGCCAGAAAGTTTTTCTCGTCTGAGTCCATCCTTCAAATCTATAAATCAACCACCCCTCCTTACTTCCCTTCCCCTTACTTGCTTCCCCGATGACTATAATCTTCAAATATTTAAAGGGTAATGTCAATCAACATCTGACACCCTGAGCTTGTTCTTCGTATCCTTCTCCTCCTTCCCTCAAACACGCCTCTTTACGCCTATTCTCAATCCTCTGTAACTCGCCTTGCTTGGGATGAACTGCCTTTAAAAAAAAGCGCTACAAAGAAGAGAAAATTGCGGAGAGCCATGATCGCCGACGTCCTAAACGGACACGGTACATAAAAAAGAAGAAAAGTCTGGCACAGGGCTACAATACCTGTGCAACAAGTGAAGAGAGAAATCAATATACGGACATTATCTATAAAATAGGTTTTGAATGATTACACCAGGTGTTTATAATTGTGCATGCCTCTTTTATTGGGGAGGGGGGCAATTAAGTGCATGAAATCTTAATAAAATATTAATAACTGGATTAAGTTTAATAAAAAAAAGGTCACAACAATAGATGAAAAATATCATGAATGTCACAACAATAGATGAAAATCTCATGAAAACATTTGAGACATTCCTAAATATACATGAAAAGAAATTAGATTACTGATCTGACCCAGAACTTTATCAATCGCCATGAACGGATGTTCGCTCATGGAGAGCCCGTGCCTTGAGCGCTTATCGGGTCTTACACACAACCCAGACCTCAAGTGGAACTCGTATATACGATCTATCACTAAAGATGCCGGAAAAATGAAGGTTCCCTGTACCACTCCAGCAAAATACCTCACTCCTTCTACTATCCTCTACCTTTATAAGAATCGGATCAGGCCGGAAATGGAGTATTGCTGCCTATATGGACAGGAATTACCCAGTCTTCAATTTCCTCTCTCGATAGAATCCAAAAGCGTTTCTGCATTCTACAACCCCTTTCTTATAGATGAGAATTCTATCATTGAATATTGCTGCAGTATCTGGTCTGATGCTCCTACTGTATATTTAGAGATTCGTGATAAAACCCAAAGAACAATATGCAATGTTATTGGTCCTGACATTACACCTCGGCTTCAGTGACTTTACCGCCACTGCCTTAATGTAATTTTCTTTTCTATAAATACTTTCGTGGTAACTGTTCTGATGAGCTTTCATCTTTGGTACATCTACTAATTTTAGCGCGATACTAGACTGACAACTCGGTCTAATCATTTTACAGTTGAAATGGCTAGATGTAGCCGTAAGTTCTATGCTAACAGTTTCTTCTTTCGCACTTCTCGCTTGTGGAACTCTCTTCCAGCTTATTGGTTTCCACTCAACTTTGATCTTAAAAAAAATTAAATGCAATGTCAATCGTTTTCTTCTATCTCCTTAATTCTTTATTTTTTTTATCAATCACTCATCATAATAGTTTCTTTTCTCTCACATTTTCTAATACCCAGTCACCGTTGCGTTTTAGTGGCTTTATTGCCTTACTAGGGATGAAATGATTAATAAAATATTGTTTTACATTATTAAATGTATGGTACTGTTTTTTTTAGTTTTTTTTTTTTTTTACATGGAACAGAATTTTAAATTTATCTTTGATGTATTTATATGTATATTTATTTGTCTATGCATATCCTTTTGTTTATAATTTTTTTAAAGAAAGTAGACATTTTTCATTTATTTTAAAATATTTTTCTTTTCTTTATTTTTCGTCTGTGTTGATTTATTTGCAAAGAGTAAAATGGCTATTTTCATTTTGCCCCCTGCCGAAAGTAAATGACGAAAATAGATAATAAAGAATGCCTCTGCAGATTCACGAGCTGACAAGCTGAATGTCAGACAAAACTAGAGAATAGTTTTATTTTGACGATATCGGCCAACGAGAAAAGGCATCTTAGCAAGTCCGATATAGTTACGTAAAGCCGTCTGCTTGCAATTCTACGGCATCATAAATGGCCTTCTTGGCATTCGGCAGACACCTTAGAAATGCCAAACTCAACCTTCCACATAACGACGATTTTTTTCGTTTTAATCTCGTGTGAAAGCGAGACAGAAAACAGAAACGAGTATACAAAACGACAGAGTATCAATCAACCGAATTCAAAGATCTATAATTTTATGGGACGGACAATATTTTTTTCATCGAAAATCTATTGCTGGTAATATTTTCATCAAAATCTATTGCTGGTAATTTTTTTTTTTCAAAAAATCTATTATTTGGAATAATTTTTTTGTCAAAATCCTGTTGCTGTTAATATTTTTCATCAAAAATCTATTATTTGGTAATATTTTTTTTTTTGCTGTTAATATTTTTTCAAAAATCTATTGACTGGTAATATTTTTTCATCAAAAAATCTAATGCTAATTTGCATTTTTGAAAAAAATCTTTTGCTGTTAATATTTTTTTCATCAAAATCTATTGCTGGTAATATTTTTTTTCAAAAATATATTGCTGGTAATAATGCATTTTTGTCAATATTTTTTTACACAAAAAGTATTTCTGGTATTAAAACCTATTTTTACACTTTCATGGTGTTTTGACCCCAGTTTAGGAGTTAACTATTTGCTCATAGCTGGAACCCTAACAGGTGCTACGACACCGGGAACACCAGCAATCAAGAGATCGTTCCACGCTCCTCAAAACCTCCTGATCAGAGGCTTTGCTCTTGGATGTACTTTATCGTCGAACACATGATGGTCAAAATTTCTCTCTTAGCAATAAGAAATTTATTAAAAAATATTGTCAGATTTTGTTTTTGGTTTTTTTTTATTTTACGGCATATCAACTGCAACTGGTTATTTATTGATTACACAATTTTGAGGATAGTTTCGTATGAATAGAATATGTATTCTCTGTAAGAAATCAGTTTGTAGATCAGGTTTCATTGATGTATTTTGGTTTCTTCTGTTTAACGGCATATCAACCTCAACGTGTTATTTAAAGATTTTTATTGCTGGTAATATTTTTATTTAAAAATGTATTGCTGGTAATATTTATTTCCAAAAAGATATTGCGGGTAATAATTTCTTCCTTCAAAATTGCTGATAATAACTTTTTCCTTCAAAAGTTCATTGCTGGTAATAATTTTTTCCTTCAAAAGTTCATTGCTGGTAACAATTTTTTTGCAAAAATGTATCGCTGTTACTAAAACCTATTTTTACACTTTCATAATGTTTTTACCTCAATTTAGTGGTTAACTATTTGCCCATAGCTGGGACCCTTACAGGTACTACCACCCTGAGTTAGGGTGGGCCTGGGAACACCAGCAATTAAGAGCTGGTTCTACGCTTCTCAAAACCTCCTGATTAGAAGCCTTGTTTGTTGGATGTAGTTTATCGTCTTATCCAGGACGTGGATGCAGATTATCGTCTTACCCTGGACGCGGATGTAGTTTCTCGTCTTACGCAGGACGCTTGCAAACTCTTGATTCTTTTATTATACAAAATAAACAGCCCATATTAAATAAGATATCATTTACCGCAAGAGATGTTATCTTGAAATGTATAAAATATAATTGATCGGTGCACATATTATATTAATATCAAAATTGAATTAATTATTTGATAATATGAAATAAAATAAATAAATTGCATTTTTTGTACTGCCTCGTTCCCAGTAGCAGTAACACATGACGTCATATTAGACCATTTCAAACGTCCAGCGTCCGAATGATTACGAAGATGCAGAAAAAATAATTACAGCTACTACAATGATACACATCAGTTCTTGATAATGAGTCGAAAGTCGAAATGCTTAAACAAAAATTTAAAAAGATAAATGAATTTCGGACAGTTTATCAACAACTTTGATCATAATATCCGGGAAAACGCTGTTTCATTAGAAATAAAGAAATATATTTATATCAATTAAATATATTTCATATCAATTTCATTTTTCATTAGAAATAAAAAATATATTTCATATCAATTTCACTTTTCATTAGAAATAAAGAAATATATTTCATATCAATTTCACTTTACAAGAAATATATTTCATATCAATTTCACTTTTCATTAGAAATAAAGAAATATATTTCATATCAATTTCACTTTTCATTAGAAATAAAGAAATATATTTCATATCAATTTCACTTTTCAAGAAATATATTTCATATCAATTTCACTTTTCATTAGAAATAAAGAAATATATTTCATATCAATTCTTCTATGTGGCTGTGAATGTTAGAGAGTTTCTTGCGGATGAAGAAGAAACCTAAGACAACAGAGATATCGTTCTTCAGCAGAATGTCCAGAATATCTTAGACGGATCATGCGAGAAATAAGGAAGTTTAAAAGAAAATGGGAAGAAAAGTAGCAACGTAATCATCAACAAAACCTAACGCCTTCTCCTACCTATGCCGTACATGGCTGAAGTAATCGGGAGTCATCTGATTCTTGAATATGATTGGCTGATTCCTCAGTAGCAGAAGCTCAGCCGTACTTGATATAGACATCTTTTTTTTTTTACCCCAGAGTGGTTGATTTCTAGCGGGATCCATTTATCATTCATTGTTCAATATTTGTCTCTAGGTTTCTTATTTATGATTGTATTCACTGTGTTCTTAGATTGTTTACTTATAAAAAAAAAGTCATTTCAATCTTTTTAAGCTCTCAAGCAGTTCAAAAGAAAAGACGAAATCTGATCATTTCTTTTCAACAACAGGTTTTGATTTCATAAACAAATTTCATAAACAAAGGTCAGTTGTAAAGACATCTGCGTCGCAACTTTTACCATTGATTTACCAATCAAAAATCAAACAAAACTGTCTCTCGAGGTTGTCTTCATTTTGATGGTGACCCTGCTCGATCGTCTGAGCTCTAGAATTTTATTGAGTACGGAGGCAATTTCAAAGACCATTTGGGTTCTGCAAAGGACTTCCTCAGCTTAACCTAATCTAGCACAGATCTACAACAGCGGAACTCTCGGTGAAAAGTCAAAAGTTTGAGATATTACCTTGAAAAATTAATGACAGACACACGTGAGCTTACCAAAATGAAAAGCACTGGATTGATTGATTCGTTGCAGGTTATTTAAAGCCAGAAAATATTTTTTAGATTCTAAGAACATTTTTAGATAATAATGAGTTAGTGATACAAGTCTTACTAATTAACCTATAGCTGGGGGAGAAGAGAATATTCATACCTTTCCCAAAGGTATTTGTGCGTAAGTGAAACAACGGGAATTGGAACTCGGCTCTCCGATTAACAATTCCGAGTTTATTATCCATTACATCAGCCCACATCCCGGCTTACAGCATCTGGTATACCCAAGCGGTCACCCATCTAAAATACTGACTAGGCTCAACGTTAGTTAACTTCGGGATGATAGTACGGGAACCTGTGTTTCACAGAGATGTGGGCGTAAACCCACAAATTGGAGATATCGAATCAAAACAAGTACAACAATTTAAATACCTGGGAAATGTTTTAACAGAAGACTGAAAGAGTAACACTGAAATTCAAAGGAGTATTCAGATAGCGAAAGATGCAATTCAAAAGCTAAGCAAAGTAGTAAGGAACAGAAAAATTTCATTAGAAACAAATAGCACTGAACTGATATGTAATATCAATCCTCCTATTTAGCAGTGAATACTGGACAATGTCCTCACAGATGAATAAGAGACTTGAAGTAACAGAAATGTGGTTCTACAGAAGGATGTTGAGAATACCAGGGACTGAACATGTGTGCAACGACGAAGTTTTAGAGAAAAATTAAAACATATTTAACATTGACAGTTGAAATTTCTAGGAAACGAAATGAAGTAAGAGGGCTTGGAAAATTTGACACTCACAGGGCATATTGAAGGCAAGGTGGACAGATGAAAAACAACGTATAACCTTACCTAAAATGCTTGCGTAAATGGATGGCGTAACACGGTTTAGGAAAGATAACAAAAAGACAAAAAGTTATTACCTTCGCTGGTTCCTGGACTACATGAATTTGAACGAGCTACCAGGCTGCCATCTCGGTCCCACCTTTTCACTGTCAAAACGGTTAAATGTAACCGTCTCTTCTTCTCTCGCATTTCCGTCTGTGGAACTCCTTTCCCTTTACTTGCTTCTCCGATGACGCTAATCTTCAAATATTCAAGTGTAATGTCAATCGACATCTGACACTCTGAGCTTGTTCCCCATCCTTCTCTGATCCTTTCCTCATACACGCCTCTTTAATCTTGTTCTCAATCCTCTGTTACTTGCCTTGCGTGCTTCTGGCATTCCCGCCATGCTTGGGGTGAATCGCCTTAAAAATGAATAGACTGAGATAGATAGATAGATAGATAGATAGATAGATAGATAGATAGATAGATAGATAGATAGATAGATAGATAGGTGCCTGCTTGGTCTCACGCTGTTCACTGACATGAGGTGGAATAAATTACACTGAATCAATAACTTCATTTACCGCAAGAAAAATTGGCTCTCTGTGTCGTGCCAGAAAGTTTTTCTCGTCTGAGTCCATCCTTCAAATCTATAAATCAACCACCCCTCCTTACTTCCCTTCCCCTTACTTGCTTCCCCGATGACTATAATCTTCAAATATTTAAAGGGTAATGTCAATCAACATCTGACACCCTGAGCTTGTTCTTCGTATCCTTCTCCTCCTTCCCTCAAACACGCCTCTTTACGCCTATTCTCAATCCTCTGTAACTCGCCTTGCTTGGGATGAACTGCCTTTAAAAAAAAGCGCTCCAAAGAAGAGAAAATTGCGGAGAGCCATGATCGCCGACGTCCTAAACGGACACGGTACATAAAAAAGAAGAAAAGTCTGGCACAGGGCTACAATACCTGTGCAACAAGTGAAGAGAGAAATCAATATACGGATATTATCTATAAAATAGATTTTGAATGATTACACCAGGTGTTTATAATTGTGCATGCCTCTTTTATTGGGGAGGGGGCAATTAAATGCATGAAATCTTAATAAAATATTAATAACTGGATTAAGTTTAATAAAAAAAGGTCACAACAATAGATGAAAATATCATGAATGTCACAACAATAGATGAAAATCTCTCATGAAAACATTTGAGACATTCCTAAATATACATGAAAAGAAATTAGATTACTGATCTGACCCAGAACTTTATCAATCGCCATGAACGGATGTTCGCTCATGGAGAGCCCGTGCCTTGAGCGCTTATCGGGTCTTACACACAACCCAGACCTCAAGTGGAACTCGTATATACGATCTATCACTAAAGATGCCGGAAAATGAAGGTTCCTGTACCACTCCAGCAAAATACCTCCTCCTACCATCCTCTACCTTTATAAGAATCGGATCAGGCCGGAAATGGAGTATTGCTGCCTATATGGACAGGAATTTACCCAGTCTTCAAATTCCTCTCTCGATAGAATCCAAAAGCGTTTCTGCATTCTACAACCCCTTTCTTATAGATGAGAATTCTATCATTGAATATTGCTGCAGTATCTGGTCTGATGCTCCTACTGTATATTTAGAGATTCGTGATAAAAACCCAAAGAACAATATGCAATGTTATTGGTCCTGACATTACACCTCGGCTTCAGTGACTTTACCGCCACTGCCTTAATGTAATTTTCTTTTCTATAAATACTTTCGTGGTAACTGTTCTGATGAGCTTTCATCTTTGGTACATCTACTAATTTTAGCGCGATACTAGACTGACAACTCGGTCTAATCATTTTACAGTTGAAATGGCTAGATGTAGCCGTAAGTTCTATGCTAACAGTTTCTTCTTTCGCACTTCTCGCTTGTGGAACTCTCTTCCAGCTTATTGGTTTCCACTCAACTTTGATCTTCAAAAAATTAAATGCAATGTCAATCGTTTTCTTCTATCTCCTTAATTCTTTATTTTTTTTATCAATCTCTCATCATAATAGTTTCTTTTCTCTCACATTTTCTAATACCCAGTCACCGTTGCGTTTTAGTGGCTTTATTGCCTTACTAGGGATGAAATGATTAATAAAATATTGTTTTACATTATTAAATGTATGGTACTGTTTTTTTTAGTTTTTTTTTTTTTACATGGAACAGAATTTTAAATTTATCTCTGATGTATTTATATGTATATTTATTTGTCTATGCATATCCTTTTGTTTATAATTTTTTTAAAGAAAGTAGACATTTTTCATTTATTTTAAAATATTTTTTCTTTTCTTTATTTTTCGTCTGTGTTGATTTATTTGCAAAAGAGTAAAATGGCTATTTTCATTTTGCCCCCTGCCGAAAGTAAATGACGAAAATAGATAATAAAAGAATGCCTCTGCAGATTCACGAGCTGACAAGCTGAATGTCAGACAAAACTAGAGAATAGTTTTATTTTGACGATATCGGCCAACGAGAAAAGGCATCTTAGCAAGTCCGATATAGTTACGTAAAGCCGTCTGCTTGCAATTCTACAGCATCATAAATGGCCTTCTTGGCATTCGGCAGACACCTTAGAAATGCCGAACTCAACCTTCCACATAACGACCGATTTCTTTCGTTTTAATCTCGTGTGAAAGCGAGACAGAAAACAGAAACGAGTATACAAAACGACAGAGTATCAATCAACCGAATTCAAAGATCTATAATTCTTATGGGACGGACAGTATTGGCTGGATTAGTTTCGTGGCTAAGCAGAGGACTATCGATTAGTAGCTCAGAATTTTCAGCTTGAGTTCTGGATCGTTTTCAAAAACACTTGGAAAATATTTTAGCGCTATATATCTTGCAACATTTGAGAGTGTCGCAAATAACAAATAGAGAAATATTTTTAATTCTAAATAAAGATATTAAATATATGTTAACTACATTTGCAAAAAAATATATTTCTCAAATCAATTTATTTTTCATTTATTTTAATCGTTTCACTCCAAGTAAGGCGATATTGTCACTAAGACGCAGTGCATTACACGGAGTGAAAGAGAAAGTGGAGAAAAGGACAATTAAAGAACAGGATCCAGGAAAACAAAAAAATGGCGATTGACGTTGCATTTAAACAATATTACTTTTCTCTGCGAACTGGAAGTTAGTTTGTGTTTGTATCTTTAAGTGAAAGTTTGAGGGAGCCATTTTTGTTTCTCTGGTGCTGCTTCTGTTTCCCAAATATTTCCTTTGGTTTAAATTCAAACGATTAGCTTAAGTTTTAAACCATTTCCTTTTTTCTTTTTTTTTTTTTGGTTATCAAGTTTAATTTTTAATCGTTTCTCACCCAAGCAAAATGATAATGCCACTAAGTGGCAAGAAAAGAGGATGATAAATAAAAAAAAAAATGAAAAAACATCAGTGAGGAGAAAGGGTAATGAGAAACAGGATCAAGGGAGGCACAAAATGGCGGCGATTGACGCTGCATTTAAATTTTTGAAGACCGTAGGTGGCATGGAAACAAGAAACAGGCAAAAAGTGCGAGAAAAGAAACTATTAGAATACAATTTATGGTTACATCTAGCTAGTTCCACAGCAAAACGATGAGACTTGGTTACCAATCGAGTATTACGCTAAGAATCACGGTAGCAATGAAGATGTACTTTACTTGTACTTGATGCGGCATTCACCCTGGGCGGATTGAGCCGGCTTCTTCCTGTTGTGAGAAGAAGATTCTTGGGATAAATTACAGAAGTAGGGTACCCAGGCCTACTCGGATAACGTTCTTGCTTGCCGCGGGGTTCCCACAGACGCAGAGACAGGAACGACCAGAAGCCGCCGGTTGCCGATGCAGACGCTCCTTGGATTTTCACCAGAGCCCTTGTTAGCCGGCGTGTGCGTCAGACCCGTCCGCCTTGGGTGGCCCTACCAGGAACGAAGTTCCGGACGGCATAGCTCTGACACTACCGTTACCCCCCACACACACACACACCGACTGTGAGGTAAGGGTTGGACTTTGGGGGCTTACAGTACCAGGTGTTCCCAAGCGGTCCCCCATCTAAGTACTGATCTGGCTCTACGATGCTTAACTTCGGTGATCTAACGAGAACCGGTGTTTTCAGCGTGATTTGACCGTAAGCTAGAAATGAAGATGGTCATTCCTAAACATTATTTGCAATGACCTGTGTCCCTTTATTACACGGCTCTTTCACACCTTTTGAGTAAAATTCTCCAGCTTTTGATGGGCAACAGTTTTCGACGAATAATTGAATATGATTTTCATTGTAGAAGATTTTTCCCCATCACTGTTTCTTCATCTTCTTCTGCGTGCCGTCTTCCTCCAAGAAGTGGGCGATAATGGTTGTCCACAATTTCCTCTCCTTTTATCCGTTAGTTAGCTAGTACGTTAGTTAAGAACGTGTGCTACGCCCTGTTGTTATATCAGATAAATAATAGAACCTTTCGTCTCAGATACGTCGTTTGTTTTTAGTGACAAAAAGAAAGAATACATGATGAAAGGAAGAAGAAAGAAAGGCAGAAAGAAAGAAAGGCAGAAAGAAACAAAGAAACAAAGAAAATAAGAAAGAAATAATGAAAGAAAAGAGAAAGAATAAAGCAAGAGAGAAATAACGAAAGATAAAAAGAAAGAAAGAAAGAAAGAAAGAAAGAAAGAAAGAAAGAAAGAAAGAAAGAAAAGATAAAGGCAGCAATAACATTCCGATGCGTTTAAAATCTTCTTCAGCAAAGTAGAAAATCCTATCCATTTTGAATCTTTTCATTCGTACCCACTTACTACTTAAAATAATGACCTGCATTCATACTTATGCTTGTTATTGCAATATTTTGTTAAAAGTTGCTCAGGTCATTTAAGAGTGCAACGGGAAAAATTCCATGAGTATTTTAAAATTGTAGAACGCGCAAGAAGCATGTTCAATCATTGGATTAAGAATTAAGATTCGTAAGAAAATTCAAATACCATACCGAGACATTTTTCCTGTGTAGTGTTATTTTCTAATAATTAAAACCGTTTACAATCCACCAATCGATTTCATGTTTATTTTTAATTGCATCTGACTTCATTCCTTCGAAATGTTTGAAATTATTTCTCTTCTAATTCTAGGCATTTGCATTTTCTATTAAATCAAAATTCATTTTTAGTTTAATGCTTCACCGAAACAAATTATTCCGAATTTGTGAAATTATTTATAAAAAAAATCTCTCTAACTTATTATTTTCTATTAATTCTAAATTCATTTTTAGTTCGATAGTTCACCGAAACAAATTATTATTCCGAATTGGTGAAATTATTTCCAAAGCATTAATTTCCCTTTATTTTCATTTTCTATTAAATCTAAATTCGTTTTTACTTCAAAGGTTTACCGAAACTAATTATTCGTAATTGGTGAAATTATAAAAAAAAATCTCTATTTCTTTTCTTTTTCTATTAAATCTAAATTCATTTTAATTCAATGTTTTAACGAAACAAATTATTCCAAATAAGTGAAATTATTTATAAAAAAATAATCTCCCTTATTTTCATTTTCTATTAAATCTAAAGTACTTTTAGTTCAATGGTTCACCGAAACAATTATTACAAAATGGCGAGATTATTCATAAAAAATAATTTCTCCTTACTTTAATTTTCTATTAAATCTAAATTCATTTTTAGTTCAATGCTTCACCGAAAAAAATTATTACAAATTGGTTACATATTTTATAAAAAAATAATATCCTTATTTTCATTTTCTATTAAACCTAAATTCATTTTAGTTCAAAGACTCGCGCAATGAAATTATTCCAAATTGGTGAAATTGTTTATAAAAAAAATAATCTCTCTGTATTTTCATTTTCTATTCATTTTTAGCTCAATGATTCAGCGAAGCAAATTATTACAAATTCCTAAAATTATTTATAAAAAAAATAATCTCTCCTTATTTTCATTTTCTATTAAATCTAAATTCATTTTTAATTCAATACTTCAACGAAACAAATTATTCCAAGTTGGTGAAATTATTTATAAAAAAATAATCTATCCTTATTTTCATTTTTTATTTAATTCATTTTTAGTTCATTGCTTCACCGAAACAAATTATTCCATATTGGTGACATTTTATTTATAAATAAATAATCTGTCCTTATTTTCATTTTCTATTGAATCTAAATTCATTTTTAGTTCAATACTTCACCGAAACGAATTATTCCAAGTTGGTGAAATTATTTATAAAAATAATCTGTCCTTATTTTCATTTTCTATTAAATCTAAATTCATTTTTAGTTCAATACTTCACCGAAACGAATTATTCCAAATTAGTGAAATTATTTATATAAAAAAAATGTCTCCTTATTTTCATTTTCTATTAATTCTAAATTCATTTTAGTTCAATGCTTCACCGAAAGAAATTATTCGAAATTGGTGAAATTATTTATAAAAAAAAAATATGTAGATCCAACCACCCTGCGAGTTTTAATCAAGTACACCAAAGGAATAGAGTACAGGCTAATCAGAATTTTTTCTCATAAAACCATTTTTAAACAAAAAAAAGCTTTGAAAGTGGAGGGGTATAAATCTAAATTAGAACTCAGTCTTCAAATGAATCAACAAATGAAGAAGGTAAAGAAACATTATTTGGTTTAACCATTAAGTTTAATTTAGAGTTGAAATCTTCCATAAGGAAGATATTTTTCAAGTTGCTTGATAAGCACTTCTCTGTCTTACACAAAATGTTTAGTAGAAACACAGAAAATTATGTTGCAGCTTTACTAGCAATTTGTGTACTACAAAGCAAAACGCAAATAATTTCAAGGTTAACCTGCAGCAAAATATGGCGGATAGCGAGAAGTGTAACTGTAGAGAAAAAAATGTCCACTAGATGGTGTCTGTCAAACAGAAGGAGTTGTTTACAAAGCAGAAGTGAAGGACGAAAATGGCCAGAGCAATATATAGATGGGGTACAATGAAGGTACCTTCAAAGATGGGGTACAATGAAGGTACATTCAAAGAGAGATGGTACAATCAAAAGTCATTCTTCAGAACAGAAAGTAATATAAATCGTTAGCAGATTGACCAGCAATGCATGGAAATTAAAAGAAAGAAACAACAAAAGCCTAAATATAAGATAGATTAATGCATGTAGACTCTGCCAGGGAGAAAAAACTAGCAAAGTATCCAAAACCAAGAAAAGCTGTTAAATGAAAAGTATATTTTTGGTTTTTACGAATCCGGATGAGAATACGTCAAAATTTTCTCACTCTCCATTCTACCCTATTTTCACATTCTTGCTAAACCCTTTCGCATCTGTAACACTTCCGGTTGCGCGTACATAAAATAAGCTAATAAAGTGTTAAGAAATTAAGTAGTATCTACTACCAGTTGAGACCATAATGGTTGAAACGATGGTAACGGATATGTAAGTGATTACTAATGTTTTAATATTTACTGGTGGGACCCGTGGAATTTCCACGGAACAACTAATAGAATGTTAAGTAAACAATAAAATTTTTCTGCGTGTATGTTTGTATAAAAATAACGCATTGAAGAAGAAGTAATTAAAATCTCTACATAATAGAATGAAATACTTAGGCAAAAAATAGTATATATATATATGCATATATTTGTACAGGTGTATTTACAAATAGATAAAGTTTATCTATTAAATCTATCCTTTTGTAACACAATACTCATAGGCTGGGAAAAATAAATAACACATAGATATACTTGGGAGTGTTCACCATGTGTGGAAACATTATCAGTGCTAATCAATCCTTGGTAGTCACACCTCCCAACATAGAGCCATACCAGTTTCCTTCAATATGAATACAGGAAACAATAGAGTTGTACATGTACAAAGCTATGTAATACATGCCACATATAGTTTTCTGTCTCTCTCTCTCTCTCTCTCTCTCTCTCTCTCTATATATATATATATATATATATATATAGACAGTCAGGTTTCGATCCTAGCTCGAAGCAGTCGGACGTCTAGCCACACTGATGAGCTGTGATACAGCGAAACAGTCTATCTGGGGATGACAATATATATAAGCAATTGGTGTGGCCAACATTCAACTTGCCTGACGAAAGAGGAAAGAAAAAGAGAGAAAAAATAAAAGCCAAATGCCTACGCAGCATAGTGCTCAACGCCCACACTACCTAGATAAAGCAAAAAACGCTTCACGTCTCTCACTCTCTCTCTCTCTCTCCACACACACACACACACACACACACATATATATATATATATATGGGGAGTATGCGAGAGTGTGTGATTTCTTTTCAATTCTTATTTTCTTTTAAACCAGTTGAAATTGAATCAGTAAACCTCGACAAAAAATATTCGGAAGTTTGCCACATGCCACACTAATTAGACTTAGCACTCAGCTGAACTTTCAAATAAGCCCATCCTGTTAAAGTCGATCTTCTTCCTGCTCTCTTGCCATTCTTCATCGGATATTAGTTTCTCAAGTATATGAATGTCAACATTGTTCAGTTCGCCTACAGCTCTTCGTTAAAATTCGTACTCTTTCGTATAACTCCGTGATCCACCTCGCCGAATATTTTGAGTTCGTATTTGGCGTTATGACAGCTTGGGCTGTTTACGATTTTGAAAGAATAATGAACACTATAAAAAGAATTAAAAATATTAACCTAGATATTCTGTAAGAAAAAAGAAATCGAATCTAGTTCCAGACTGAAAATAAGATACTAGGTCATTTGTGGCGAAATTTAAATGATTTCGATTGCTATTTTAACAGCCATCTTGATATATTAAACTGGCGAATTTTACTGTTTCTCAAAACTACTGATCAAGTTGCCATTCGCTCTAAATTATCAGAATAGATTTTCCGTGTTCTTTTGGAGTGCATTACAATAAAAGGTGGACAAAGTAGAATTAGTTTTAGTTTGATTTCTCTTTATTCTTTCATGTTTTAAAATATTGACTAATTACACCTAATGATAGATTAATACTTCGCAGGAGTCAAAAGGAGCAAAAAATAAAATAAAGAACGAACACCATTTATTCGAACGTCTAGGCAAATCCAAATATATTCAACAACTGAGACTCTAAACAGATTTGAGCATATTGGCTCTCCATTCATCATTAATACATCCCTCCAAAAGAAGTGAAAGAAAGTCCTCAATAATATTCTATTTAATTTTTATCAAAAGAAGATTTCTTCGTTGCCTTGATCATCGAGTTAATAGTAGGATTGATCGATTTGTTTCTTACGGGTTATCAACCCTTCGTAGGTTATTTAAAGCCGAAACATATTTTGGATTGTGAGAATAATTCTTTCTTTTGCGAATGAATATTGTTGTTATGAATAATCAAGAGTTGTCTCCCCTCGTTCTGTTACTCTCCTCTTTGAGAGAGCTATTTCTGTTTACTAGGACTATAAAAGTGCACTATACCGTACATATGAACACTAATAGGTATGCCACAATCCTCATAAATACATTGGACACTATTGTAAGTCAGGGTAATATATTGTCTAAGTAGTCCACCACTAGCCGTAGTTTACCTACTTCACACCGCTGGCGAGTATTGTATTTTGTTGATGTTATAAAGCTTAACATTTCATTTCCAACCTCCGTTTTGGTAATTCCTCATTCAGTAACCCTTTCTAGGTTACAACAATAACGATTGACATTACATTTATATTTTTGAAGATCAAAGTTGGCTGGAAAGCAGGCAGTCGGAAGAGAGTATCACGAGCGAGAAGTGTGAGAAAAGCAACTGTCAGCATAGAACTTATGACTACATCTAGCCAATTCAATTGTAAATTGATGAGGTCAGTCTAGTACTGCGATTAAATTCATAAAGTCTAGGTACCATAGCGAAGAGCTCACCTGAACAATCACCATGTGTTTATAGAAAAGGCACAGGGAAACAATTTACAGTGGTGAGAAAGTGACTGAAGCCGAGACGCCAGGTCAGGACCTATAATATTGCTGGGAAATTTGCTTAATGGTTGAAGCAATTTTTTTTCAACGGTCAATATTCGAATTTATATAAAAGCAAATACTGCTTTTCGAGGTTGGAATTGTTCAACCCTCATTCAGTGATGTTTAACTTTGTGCCGATTAAGCTGCTGGCATTTTAGACGATGACGTGTAAATCAGAAACACATTAAACTGCTTATCAGCAAGGAAGGGTCGACTTGTTGGCAGCAGTAGGCGATATTTTTTGAATGCCTGCAGTTAATAGTAAAAATCAAAATGAGTGTAACAAATTATCTCACACATTAGATATTTTAAAAGCAATTAAATTCTGGGCGAAATAGAAAAAACTATTTTTTTTTTTTTTACTTTTATTTATTCATTTATTTTTAAGTGATTTTTCCAACAATTTAAAAGCAAAAAAGAAACTCCCATTTGGTACCAATCATTTAGAGATGGATACTGAGTTGGTCATATTACAAGAGATTAAGTAAATTTGGTCCATTATACTGGGTATCTATCCTTTGTAGAAGTACATGTAACGTAGCTGGTGATACTCGGAGAGTCGACATTGTGACCTTGTATCAGTTTAAGAAAGCTTAGTAAACAACTACTAATAAAATGTGGACTGCTCCGTCCTCATTGGGTACTCTAATATTATCTTGTGCCAGAAGTTAACGTCAATAAGTAAGTGAAATAAGACTTGGTATAGAGTAATAGTTAATGGACAGACTGACTATCTATCTATCTATCTATCTATCTATCTATCATCTATCTATCTATCTATCTATCTATCTATCTCAGGCTGTTCATATCTAAGTGTGTTCATATCTATCTACCGCATTCTGTTCGTATCTGTCTATCTATTGATCTATCCCAGGCTGTTCATATCTATCTATCTATCTATCTATCTATCTATCTATCTATCTATCTATCTATTTCTGTTTGTTCATATCTCATCTCATCAAGGGAAATTATGATAAACTGGAAAAAGTTTTTGCATGATGCGTTTCATTTTTTGTGATAGTGATAAATCGTTTTCCCCATAGAATTAAGGGCCTCCGTCGGTCTCGAGAGACCATTGGTTTGCCCCAAGGCGTTTTTTTTTTTTATGTGCGATCGGCAGTTGTGTAGGTGGCACGTCTCACCTCTCGACGCTACCGAAAAGGTTTTAAGAATTTGTCTCCTCGAGGAGAACGTAAACTCAACTGAGTTACAGTGAAAACAACAAATTTTTACCAGTATTCAGATCTTTGGACCGGCTGGAATTGAAGGAGTCAAGAAGTAAAAAAAATGTGTAGAATACTACGTAAATTGGGATTTCTCAAGAGATCTCATCTGCAAACTCCTCTCAGCAAAGCAAATATTTTAAAGCAACAAAATTGGCCAAAGAAATACATGAAAATTGACTATTATGAAATAATTTTCACAGTCGATTCTTGAAAGACATTCGATGTAGCTGATAGATTGGTCAAATACGTTGCAGATGTGCCTGTGACTAAAAGAAAGCAGTAAGGATGTGGCCCTGTGATTATATGGGTTAGAAATGTCGACCAAACCAGTATTGCACAATTCAAAATCGTTTAAGTGGTTAAATTGAACACTGATAACTAGTGCGATTCCATGCATCAAGACTTTCTTTGAATTTTACAAATTCCAGCCTCGAATTTTCAAAGGTGAGTCTATATTTATACCAATGTTTCTCTGCTTATATCTAAGGCTAACTTTGTGAACGTAAAATGTTTACCGAAGGGAAGATAATAGAATGCCTATCAAGTCCCGATCTGAATCCAATCGATAATCTATGGTCAATTAAATGAATTTGGCATACAATATGAAAGCAAAACAGGCCTATTGGAAGCAATTAAAATCAGCAAAACTGAAGTAAACAATTTCTGTGTGTTATTGAAAAGAAGGGTCACTATATTAAGATTTGAAATACTTCAAAGACTTATCTTGAGGGCTGGGAAGCCGTTGCTTAAAATCGGTCATCTTAGTGTAGGACCATTCGAGAGGGGAACAAGACATTCGAGTTCTAGTGTCAACATGAAGAGGATCTGCGACGTGCTGCCAGGAGGGCCCGACTCGCCCAGCAGCATCCACCACACACACTCCTCCGTGACTTCTGCTCACAACTCTTCAGTAGTAGGCTGGGCCTTCACAGCCAACCTCACCACCGCCACCTGAGGGGAGAAAAGGAATAAGTAGAGAATGACGATCCCGATGATCGAATGCGAGCGGGTGCTAACTAGTATATATTTGTTACTTGTTTTATTATAGGTACTGATCAATTGTTGATGATTTTATTGTCTTCGCATAAAAAAGTAATTGTCTGATTTTGCATAACTTCAGATTGCAGTTTTTATAATAAATCCAAAAATTTTAATAAAAACTTTAATTGAGAATACCTAAAAATTTAACTCAAACTTTCTTTGAATGTTTAAATCAACCGTTTAAAATTTTCAAATCAAATTCGAGTTATGGGTTTTTTTTGCGAATAACAGCTTCAGAGACGTCTGTATATAGTAATTTTCCAAGCGTAGCACGATGCCGAATGTATGGGGCACCCAGTGAGGATCGAACTCACTATTCAATCGCAATTGTTCTAACGAGACAAGTTTTCTAACCATTACACCTCCTAGATGTGCCCTGTACATTTATACATATATGACAGGATTTAATTATATATATATATATATATATATATATATATATATATATATAATGTTACAGCATAATTGGCCACCCCACAAAAGTCTAATTGAGTTTCTTTTTTCAAGGTGTCAGCTTAGCCATCGTGATACTATTTGTCGTAAGAATCAATGAAAAATGCTTTGAGTTATTCAGCTAGAAAGAGAACAGATTAAAATCGTTTTGTGTCAGCCCCACTGTCTTACCAGCTGAGCAATGGTGAGAGGAAAAATAATTCAGGGCTTCAGTAATGGTACCAATATTCATACTCTGGTTTCCATCTTCAAAATCCTTTCAAAACCAATCAAGAGAATGATGAAGAAGTTTTTAAAAAAGGGAACAGTAGAGAGGAAAACTGGATCAGGAGGGCACAACAGGAAGAGAGATCATCATTTCAACTTAGAACTAAAATGATCAATTAGAAAAGATACAACTCAATACACAAGACTTTTGACACGTGAGAGGTTAGTTTCACCTATGACAGTCCAAAGAGCAGTAAAAATAGACTTGAAAATGAAATCGTACGTGAAAACTATGAAGCACCTTATTACTCCAGGACAGAAAGTTAGAATTTTAGAGAGGACGAAGATCATCATGAATAACTTATAAAATGATCTGGAATAACATAAAAACCTCGGAGAATTCCAGTATGATATATGTAATCATTTCTAAGATACAACGGTTCAAAAATATATCTAGAAATTGGACAATTTTGCTGTTACACGATTTGGATAATTTTTCTGTTATAACCGGTATTTCTGGGTTCTATGGGAGCAACGCTAAGATGAGATTATTGTACTACGAACTAAAAACGTTAGTAGTTACTAAGTAAAAGGGTGGGTAGAAAAAAGAATAAAAAGTAAGGAAACAATAATAAAAAATAATAAAACAAATAAAAAATATAAAAAAAAACGGGATAGCATAATGGCGAGACAAAATTTTAGTTTGGTTCAATATTATTTTAGTGTTCAAGTTGTCTAAAGATCATATGAGCATGAAATTTGGCCCATCCTTACATAGAATTTAATGTTGTTAAGCGTTTTTTGCTCTATCTAGTCAATCTAGGCTTCGAGCGCTTTACTGAATAGGAAGGTTTGCCTTTAGGGATTGTTTCTTTTTTAAAGTATTATTATTTTATTTATATATATATATATATATATATATATATATATATATATATATATATATATATATATATATACTTTCTTTTCAATTGGAAATCAGATACCTTTAGTTAACGACCATTTTGACCTACGAATTTTAATTCTTTTTAGACTGTTTATGGTTATCAGTTTTGTATGGACATATATCTTAATTCAATTGTAAAAGAAAGTATATATATATGAAAGTAAAAATTGAGCGCTTTTTGTGAGTCAGTTTAAACATATTCAGATTCTATATTGTGTTAAGTGGACTCCTTGGATTATACCAACGGACTACTACCTGTATATTTTACATACATACATACATACATACATACATACATACATATATATATATATATATATATATATATATATATATATATATATATATATATATATATATATATATATATATACATGTAAGTATATATTAAAGAAAAAACTGTTGGTGGAACGAACGAATAACTTATATATACAATTTATATATATATATATATATATTTAGCCAGTATATCTTCATTCAAGCATGTTACTAACAACACACACTATTAATAACACTCATAAATTGCTCCTTGAAAGCGAGAGAAATAAAAATAAAAATAGACATGGTACGTCTAGATTATTCAACCAAACATGCTTTAGACAAAACTTATTTAATAAAACATGTCTCAATAATATATATATATATATATATATATATATATATATATATATATATGACTGTTTCATAGAGAGAGGCTATGACAAATTTGTTTCCATTTCCTATAATTCGTATTGAAGTTTTTTCGTTGAAATCCGACACTCGTATTTCTTGGGTAAGTGGCGCTAGAGACGCCTGATTCATGAAGGCACTCAACTGAAACTTAAATTTGTGAAACGTCCACCCAAATTAATTTATGTGCATGCATGCTGTACTGGATGAAGACATTGAACTTTTCTTCTGTACCCGTGTAATCAAATGATATTATTTGACCTGCTTGAACCATTTTATCACTAAATAATATCTGCTCTTATCTGTGCAACGGAAATGAAACGTGTACATTGCAGGCTTGTTTTAGCACAGTGAATACAATTGATATTAGGTTCACTAAAACTCTGGCATTATGCTAAATATAGCTTCCGTAAATATCTACCTCAAATCTACGTTTTCTTTGTTTTTTTTTTTGTTGTTTTTTTTTGTTTCTTTTTTCTTTTTGGTTTGTTTATTTTTATTTATTTATTTATTTATTTATTTATTTTTGTCAGAAAAAAAATTTATGTAGAAAACTAAAGAAAAATTATCTAAAGCGACTTCGGTATTTTTAAACTTATTGTTTTTGCTTAACAGACTCATAAAGTTTGAGAATATTCCAGAGGGGAAAATTGCTTTGAATCATAAAACAAATATCAATCTTTGATGAATTTGACGTGAGTAACTTTTCTTAAAGCAGGAAATTTTACACTTTCTTTTTACGAAGCCGAAAAGTTTTCAAAGCGAAACAGCTTTTAGATGTAGTCATATCTTTTCTCTGTTTCGCTATTCATAAAAGAAAACATGGATGTTGAACGCAAACGACAAATTATATCAAAATATAAATTATATCAAATATAAAATTTAAAAATTGACTTTTTAGAAACGAAAATCAGTATAGCTGCATGCACCATCGGTGTTCTAATTTTTACTTATATTTTAATATTTTATCTGTTGCTTTTAATGCTTATCGGCCGATAACGATAGCTTTTTTTTCATGTTACATATTGATTTTTTTTAAATTATATTTTTAAACTATCTTCATTGTTTTTAATAGGATATAATTTGCTGCGGTATTATTTGACAAATTTGAAATTACGGGTGCTGATATCTTTTAGGCTCTCTAGTGTTTATTGGTTCTTCCTTTTGGGGCTGATATCATTTAGTCTTTCTTTTGTTTATTGGTTCTTCCTTTTGGGGCTGATATCATTTAGTCTTTCTTTTGTTTATTGGTTCTTCCTTTTGGGGCTGATATCTTTTAGTCTTTCTTTTGTTCATTGGTTCTTCCTTTTGGGGCTGATATCTTTTAGTCTTTCTTTTGTTTATTTGTTCTTCCATTTGGGGCTGATATCTTTTAGTCTTTCTTTTGTTTATTGGTTCTTCCTTTTGGGGCTGATATCTTTTAGTCTCTCTTTTGTTTATTGGTTCTTCCTTTTGTGGCTGATATCTTTTAGTCTTTCTTTTGTTTATTGGTTCTTCCTTTTGGGGCTGATAACATTTAGTCTTTCTTTTGTTTATTGGTTCTTCCTTTTGGGGCTGACATCATTTAGTCTCTCTTTTGTTTATTGGTTCTTCCTTTTGGGGCTGATATCTTTTAGTCTCTCTTTTGTTTCTTGGTTCTTCCTCTTGGGGATGATATCTTTTAGTCTCTCTTTTGTTTATTGGTTCTACATTTTGGGGCTGAAATCTTTTAGTCTTTCTTTTGTTTAATGGTTCTTCCTTTTGGGGCTGACATCTTTTAGTCTTTCTTTTGTTTAATGGTTCTTCCTTTTGGGGCTGACATCTTTTAGTGTCTCTTTTGTTTCTTGGTTCTACCGTTTGGGGCTGACATCTTTTAGTCTTTCTTTTGTTTAATGGTTCTTCCTTTTGGGGCTGACATCTTTTAGTCTCTCTTTTGTTTCTTGGTTCTACCTTTTGGGGCTGACATCTTTTAGTCTTTCTTTTGTTTATTGGTTCTACCTTTTGGGGCTGACATCTTTTAGTCTCTCTTTTGTTTATTGGTTCTTCCTTTTGGGGCTGATATCTTTTAGTCTTTCTTTTGTTCATTGGTTCTTCCTTTTGGGGCTGATATCTTTTAGTCTTTCTTTTGTTTATTTGTTCTTCCATTTGGGGCTGATATCTTTTAGTCTTTCTTTTGTTTATTGGTTCTTCCTTTTGGGGCTGATATCATTTAGTCTTTCTTTTGTTTATTGGTTCTTCCTTTTGGGCTTGATATCTTTTAGTCTTTCTTTTGTTTATTGGTTCTTCCTTTTGGGGCTGATATCATTTAGTCTTTCTTTTGTTTATTGGTTCTTCCTTTTTGGGCTTAATATCTTTAGTCTCTCATTTGTTTATTGGTTCTTCCTCTTGGGGCTGATATCTTTTAGTCTTTCTTTTGTTTATTGGTTCTTCCTTTTGGGCTTGATATCTTTTAGTCTTTCTTTTTTTATTGGTTCTTCCTTTTGGGCTTGATATCTTTTTTAATCTTTCTTTTGTTTATTGGTTCTTCCTGTTGGGGCTGATATCTATTAGTCTCTCTTTTGTTTATAGGTTCTTCCTTTTGGGGCTGATATCTTTTAGTCTTTATTTTGTTTATTGGTTCTTCCTTTTGGGGCTGATATCTTTTCGTCTTTCTTTTGTTTATTGGTTCTTCCTTTTGAGGCTGATATCTTTTAGTCTTTAATTTGTTTAATGGTTCTTCCTTTTGGGGCTGATATCTTTTCGTCTTTCTTTTGTTTATTGGTTCTTCCTTTTGGGGCTGATATCTTTTAGTCTTTCTTTTGTTTATTGGTTCTTCCTTTTGGGGCTGATATCTTTTAGTCTTTCTTTTGTTCATTGGTTCTTCCTTTTGGACTTGATATCTTTTAATCTTTCTTTTGTTTATTGGTTCTTCCTGTTGGGGCTGATATCTATTAGTCTCTCTTTTGTTTATAGGTTCTTCCTTTTGGGGCTGATATCTTTTAGTCTTTATTTTGTTTATTGGTTCTTCCTTTTGGGGCTGATATCTATTAGTCTCTCTTTTGTTTATAGGTTCCTCCTTTTGGGGCTGATATCTTTTAGTCTTTATTTTGTTTATTGGTTCTTCCTTTTGGGCTGACATCATTTAGTCTCTCTTTTGTTTATTGGTTCTTCCTTTTGGGGCTGATATCTTTTAGTCTCTCTTTTGTTTATTGGTTCTTCCTTTTGTGGCTGATATCTTTTAGTCTTTCTTTTGTTTATTGGTTCTTCCTTTTGGGGCTGATAACATTTAGTCTTTCTTTTGTTTATTGGTTCTTCCTTTTGGGGCTGACATCATTTAGTCTCTCTCTTTTGTTTATTGGTTCTTCCTTTTTGGGGCTGATATCTTTTAGTCTCTCTTTTGTTTCTTGGTTCTTCCTCTTGGGGATGATATCTTTTAGTCTCTCTTTTTGTTTATTGGTTCTACATTTTGGGGCTGAAATCTTTTAGTCTTTCTTTTGTTTAATGGTTCTTCCTTTTGGGGCTGACATCTTTTAGTCTTTCTTTTTTGTTTAATGGTTCTTCCTTTTGGGGCTGACATCTTTTTAGTGTCTCTTTTGTTTCTTGGTTCTACCGTTTTGGGGCTGACATCTTTTAGTTTTTTTTTTGTTTAATGGTTCTTCCTTTTGGGCTGACATCTTTTAGTCTCTCTTTTGTTTCTTGGTTCTACCTTTTTGGGGCTGACATCTTTTAGTCTTTCTTTTGTTTATTGGTTCTACCTTTTGGGGCTGACATCTTTTAGTCTCTCTTTTTGTTTATTGGTTCTTCCTTTTGGGGCTGATATCTTTTAGTCTTTCTTTTGTTCATTGGTTCTTCCTTTTGGGGATGATATCTTTTAGTCTTTTTCTTTTGTTTATTTGTTCTTCCATTTGGGGCTGATATCTTTTAGTCTTTCTTTTGTTTATTGGTTCTTCCTTTTGGGGCTGATATCATTTAGTCTTTCTTTTGTTTATTGGTTCTTCCTTTTGGGCTTGATATCTTTTAGTCTTTCTTTTGTTTATTGGTTCTTCCTTTTGGGGCTGATATCATTTAGTCTTTCTTTTGTTTATTGGTTCTTCCTTTTGGGCTTAATATCTTTTAGTCTCTCATTTGTTTATTGGTTCTTCCTCTTGGGGCTGATATCTTTTAGTCTTTCTTTTGTTTATTGGTTCTTCCTTTTGGGCTTGATATCTTTTAGTCTTTCTTTTTTTTATTGGTTCTTCCTTTTGGGCTTGATATCTTTTAATCTTTCTTTTGTTTATTGGTTCTTCCTGTTGGGGCTGATATCTATTAGTCTCTCTTTTGTTTATAGGTTCTTCCTTTTGGGGCTGATATCTTTTAGTCTTTATTTTGTTTATTGGTTCTTCCTTTTGGGGCTGATATCTTTTCGTCTTTCTTTTGTTTATTGGTTCTTCCTTTTGAGGCTGATATCTTTTAGTCTTTATTTTGTTTAATGGTTCTTCCTTTTGGGGCTGATATCTTTTCGTCTTTTCTTTTGTTTATTGGTTTCTTCCTTTTTGGGGCTGATATCTTTTAGTCTTTCTTTTTGTTTATTGGTTCTTCCTTTTTGGGGCTGATATCTTTTAGTCTTTCTTTTTGTTCATTGGTTCTTCCTTTTGGACTTGATATCTTTTAATCTTTCTTTTGTTTATTGGTTCTTCCTGTTGGGGCTGATATCTATTAGTCTCTCTTTTGTTATTAGGTTCTTCCTTTTGGGGCTGATATCTTTTAGTCTTTATTTTGTTTATTGGTTCTTCCTTTTGGGGCTGATATCTATTAGTCTCTCTTTTGTTTATAGGTTCCTCCTTTTGGGGCTGATATCTTTTAGTCTTTATTTTGTTTATTGGTTCTTCCTTTTGGGGCTGATATCTTTTCGTCTTTCTTTTGTTTATTGGTTCTTCCTTTTGGGGCTGATATCTTTTAGTCTTTCTTTTGTTTATTGGTTCTTCCTTTTGGGGATGATATATTTTAGTCTTTCATTTGTTTATTGGTTCTTCCTTTTGGGGCTGATATCTTTTAGTCTTTCTTTTGTTCATTGGTTCTTCCTTTTGGGCTTGATAATTTTTAGTCTTTCTTTTCTTCATTGGTTCTTCCTTTTGGGGCTGATATCATTTAGTCTTTCTTTTGTTTATTGGTTCTTCCTTTTGGGGCTGATATCATTTAGTCTTTCTTTTGTTTATTGGTTCTACCTTTTGGGGCTGACATTTTTTAGTCTTTCTTTTGTTCAATGGTTCTTTCTTTTGGGGCTGATATCTTTTAGTCTCTCTTTTGTTTATTGGTTCTTTCTTTTGGGGCTGTTATTTTTTAGTCTCTCCTTTGTTTCTTGGTTCTTCCTTTTGGGGCTGATATCATTTAGTCTTTCTTTTGTTTATTGGTTCTTCCTTTTGGGGCTGATATCTTTTAGTCTTTCTTTTGTTTATTGGTTTCTACCTTTTGGGGCTGATATTTTTTAGTCTTTCTTTTGTTCAATTTGTTCTTCTTTTGGGGCTGATATCTTTTAGTCTTTCTTTTGTTTATTGGTTCTTTCTTTTGGGGTTGTTATTTTTTAGTCTTTCTTTTGTTTATTGGTTCTTCCTTTTGGGCTTGATATCTTTTAGTCTTTCTTTTGTTTATTGGTTCTTCCTTTTGGGGCTAATATCATTTAGTCTTTCTTTTGTTTATTGGTTCTTCCTTTTAGGCTTAATATCTTTTAGTCTCTCATTTGTTTATTGGTTCTTCCTCTTGGGGCTGATATCTTTTAGTCTTTCTTTTGTTTATTGGTTCTTCCTTTTGGGCTTGATATCTTTTAGTCTTTCTTTTTTTTATTGGTTCTTCCTTTTGGGCTTGATATCTTTTAATCTTTCTTATGTTTATTGGTTCTTCCTGTTGGGGCTGATATCTATTAGTCTCTCTTTTGTTTATAGGTTCTTCCTTTTGGGGCTGATATCTTTTAGTCTTTATTTTGTTTATTGGTTCTTCCTTTTGGGGCTGATATCTTTTCGTCTTTTCTTTTTGTTTATTGGTTCTTCCTTTTGAGGCTGATATCTTTTAGTCTTTATTTTGTTTATTGGTTCTTCCTTTTGGGGCTGATATCTTTTCGTCTTTCTTTTGTTTATTGGTTCTTCCTTTTGGGGCTGATCTCTTTTAGTCTTTCTTTTGTTTATTGGTTCTTCCTTTTGGGGCTGATATCTTTTAGTCTTTCTTTTGTTCATTGGTTCTTCCTTTTGGGCTTGATATCTTTTAATCTTTCTTTTGTTTATTGGTTCTTCCTGTTGGGGCTGATATCTATTAGTCTCTCTTTTGTTTATAGGTTCTTCCTTTTGGGGCTGATATCTTTTAGTCTTTATTTTGTTTATTGGTTCTTCCTTTTGGGGCTGATATCTATTAGTCTCTCTTTTGTTTATAGGTTCTTCCTTTTGGGGCTGATATCTTTTAGTCTTTATTTTGTTTTATTGGTTCTTCCTTTTGGGGCTGATATCTTTTCGTCTTTCTTTTTGTTTATTGGTTCTTCCTTTTGGGGCTGATATCTTTTAGTCTTTCTTTTGTTTATTGGTTCTTCCTTTTTGGGGATGATATATTTTAGTCTTTCATTTGTTTATTGGTTTCTTCCTTTTGGGGCTGATATCTTTTAGTCTTTTTTTTGTTCATTGGTTCTTCCTTTTGGGCTTGATAATTTTTAGTCTTTTTTTTCTTCATTGGTTCTTCCTTTTGGGGCTGATATCATTTAGTCTTCTTTTTGTTTATTGGTTTCTTCCTTTTGGGGCTGATATCATTTAGTCTTTCTTTTTTGTTTATTGGTTCTACCTTTTGGGGCTGACATTTTTTAGTCTTTCTTTTGTTCAATGGTTCTTTCTTTTCTCTCCTTTGGGCTGATATCTTTTAGTCTCTCTTTTGTTTATTGGTTCTTTCTTTTGGGGCTGTTATTTTTTAGTCTTTCTTTTGTTTTTCTTTTCTTCTTTTTTGGGGCTGATATCTTTTAGTCTTTCTTTTCTTTTTATTGGTTCTTCCTTTTGGGGTGACATCTTTTAGTCTTTCTTTTGTTTATTGGTTCTTTTTCCTTTTGGGGCTGATATCTTTTAGTCTTTTTCTTTTGTTTATTGATTCTTCCTTTTGGGGCTGATATCTTTTAGTCTTTCTTTTGTTCATTGGTTCTTCCTTTTGGGCTTGATATCTTTTAGTCTTTCTTTTGTTCAATGGTTCTTTCTTTTTGGGCTGATATCTTTTAGTCTCTCTCTTTTATTTATTGGTTCTTCCTTTTGGGGCTGATATTTTTAGTCTCTCTTTTTTGTTTATTGGTTCTAACGTTTGGGCTTGACATTTTTAGTCTCTCTTTTGTTTATTGGTTCTACCTTTTGGGGCTGATATCTTTTAGTCTTTCTTTTGTTTAATGGTTCTTCCTTTTGGGGCTGATATCTTTTAGTCTTTCTTTTGTTTATTGGTTCATCTTTTGGGGCTGATATCTTTTAGTCTCTCTTTTGTTCATTGGTTCTTCCTTTTGGGCTGACATCATTTAGTCTCTCTTTTGTTTATTGGTTCTTCCTTTTGGGGCTGATATCTTTTAGTCTCTCTTTTGTTTATTGGTTCTTCCTTTTTGTGGCTGATATCTTTTAGTCTTTCTTTTGTTTATTGGTTCTTCCTTTTTGGTTTTGATAACATTTAGTCTTTCTTTTGTTTATTGGTTCTTCCTTTGGGGCTGACATCATTTAGTCTCTCTTTTGTTTATTGGTTCTTCCTTTTGGGGCTGATATCTTTTAGTCTCTTTTTGTTTCTTGGTTCTTCCTCTTGGGGATGATATCTTTTAGTCTCTCTTTTGTTTATTGGTTTCTACATTTTGGGGCTGAAATCTTTTTAGTCTTTCTTTTGTTTAATGGTTCTTCCTTTTGGGGCTGACATCTTTTAGTCTTTCTTTTGTTTAATGGTTCTTCCTTTTGGGGCTGACATCTTTTAGTGTCTCTTTTGTTTCTTGGTTCTACCGTTTGGGGCTGACATCTTTTAGTCTTTCTTTTGTTTAATGGTTCTTCCTTTTGGGGCTGACATCTTTTAGTCTCTCTTTTGTTTCTTGGTTCTACCTTTTGGGGCTGACATCTTTTAGTCTTTCTTTTGTTTATTGGTTCTACCTTTTGGGGCTGACATCTTTTAGTCTCTCTTTTGTTTATTGGTTCTTCCTTTTGGGGCTGATATCTTTTAGTCTTTCTTTTGTTTATTGATTCTTCCTTTTGGGGCTGACATCTTTTAGTCTCTCTTTTGTTTATTGGTTCTACCTTTTGGGGCTGACATCTTTTAGTCTCTCTTTTGTTTATTGGTTCTTCCTTTTGGGGCTGATATCTTTTAGTCTTTCTTTTGTTTATTGATTCTTCCTTTTGGGGCTGACATCTTTTAGTCTCTCTTTTGTTTATTGGTTCTACCTTTTGGGGCTGACATCTTTTAGTCTCTCTTTTGTTTATTGGTTCTTCCTTTTGGGGCTGATATCTTTTAGTCTTTCTTTTGTTTATTGGTTCTACCTTTTGGGGCTGACATCTTTTAGTCTTTCTTTTGTTTTTTGGTTCTTCCTTTTTGGGCTGACATCTTTTAGTCTCTCTTTTGTTTCTTGGTTCTACCTTTTGGGGCTGACATCTTTTGGTCTTTCTTTTGTTTATTGGTTCTTCCTTTTGGGGCTGACATCTTTTAGTCTCTCTTCTGTTTCTTGGTTCTACCTTTTGGGGCTGACATCTTTTAGTCTCTCTTTTGTTTATTCGTTCTTCCTTTTGGGGCTGACATCTTTTGGTCTTTCTTTTGTTTATTGGTTCTTCCTTTTGGGGATGACATCTTTTAGTCTCTCTTTTATTTCTTGGTTCTTCCTTTTGGGGCTGACATCTTTTAGTCTCTCTTTTGTTTCTTGGTTCTTCCTTTTGGGGCTGACATCTTTTAGTCTTTCTTTTGTTTATTGGTTCTACCTTTTGGGGCTGACATCTTTTAGTCTTTCTTTTGTTTATTGGTTCTACCTTTTGGGGCTGACATCTTTTAGTCTTTCTTTTGTTTATTGGTTCTTCCTTTTGGGGCTGACATCTTTTAGTCTCTCTTTTGTTTCTTGGTTCTTCCTTTTGGGGCTGACATCTTTTAGTCTTTCTTTTGTTTATTGGTTCTACCTTTTGGGGCTGACATCTTTTAGTCTTTCTTTTGTTTATTGGTTCTACCTTTTGGGGCTGACATCTTTTAGTCTCTCTTTTGTTTATTGGTTCTTCCTTTTGGGGCTGACATCTTTTAGTCTTTCTTTTGTTTATTGGTTCTTCCTTTTGGGGCTGATATCTTTTAGTCTCTCTTTTGTTTATTGGTTCTACCTTTTGGGGCTGACATTTTTTAGTCTTTATTTTGTTTATTGGTTCTTCCTTTTGGGGCTGACATCTTTTAGTCTCTCTTTTGTTTCTTGGTTCTACCTTTTGGGGCTGACATCTTTTGGTCTTTCTTTTGTTTATTGGTTCTTCCTTTTGGGGCTGACATCTTTTAGTCTCTCTTTTGTTTCTTGGTTCTACCTTTTGGGGCTGACATCTTTTAGTCTCTCTTTTGTTTATTGGTTCTTCCTTTTGGGCTGACATCTTTTGGTCTTTCTTTTGTTTATTGGTTCTTCCTTTTGGGGCTGACAACTTTTAGTCTCTCTTTTGTTTCTTGGTTCTACCTTTTGGGGCTGACATCTTTTAGTCTCTCTTTTGTTTCTTGGTTCTTCCTTTTGGGGCTGACATCTTTTGGTCTTTCTTTTGTTTATTGGTTCTTCCTTTTGGGGCTGACATCTTTTAGTCTTTCTTTTGTTTATTGGTTCTTCCTTTTGGGGCTGATATCTTTTAGTCTTTCTTTTGTTTATTGATTCTTCCTTTTGGGGCTGATATCTTTTAGTCTTTCTTTTGTTCATTGGTTCTTCCTTTTGGGCTTGATATCTTTTAGTCTTTCTTTTGTTCAATGGTTCTTTCTTTTGGGGCTGATATCTTTTAGTCTCTCTTTTATTTATTGGTTCTTCCTTTTAGGGCTGATATTTTTTAGTCTCTCTTTTGTTTATTGGTTCTAACGTTTGGGGCTGACATCTTTAGTCTCTCTTTTGTTTATTGGTTCTACCTTTTGGGGCTGATATCTTTTAGTCTTTCTTTTGTTTAATGGTTCTTCCTTTTGGGGCTGATATCTTTTAGTCTTTCTTTTGTTTATTGGTTCATCCTTTTGGGGCTGATATCTTTTAGTCTCTCTTTTGTTCATTGGTTCTTCCTTTTGGGCTGACATCATTTAGTCTCTCTTTTGTTTATTCGTTCTTCCTTTTGGGGCTGATATCTTTTAGTCTCTCTTTTGTTTATTGGTTCTTCCTTTTGTGGCTGATATCTTTTAGTCTTTCTTTTGTTTATTGGTTCTTCCTTTTGGGGCTGATAACATTTAGTCTTTCTTTTGTTTATTGGTTCTTCCTTTTGGGGCTGACATCATTTAGTCTCTCTTTTGTTTATTGGTTCTTCCTTTTGGGGCTGATATCTTTTAGTCTCTCTTTTGTTTCTTGGTTCTTCCTCTTGGGGATGATATCTTTTAGTCTCTCTTTTGTTTATTGGTTCTACATTTTGGGGCTGAAATCTTTTAGTCTTTCTTTTGTTTAATGGTTCTTCCTTTTGGGGCTGACATCTTTTAGTCTTTCTTTTGTTTAATGGTTCTTCCTTTTGGGGCTGACATCTTTTAGTCTCTCTTTGTTTCTTGGTTCTACCGTTTTGGGGCTGACATCTTTAGTCTTTCTTTTTGTTTAATGGTTCTTCCTTTTGGGGCTGACATCTTTTTTAGTCTCTCTCTTTTGTTTCTTGGTTCTACCTTTTTGGGGCTGACATCTTTTAGTCTTTCTTTTGTTTATTGGTTCTACCTTTTGGGGCTGACATCTTTTAGTCTCTCTTTTTGTTTATTGGTTCTTCCTTTTTGGGGCTGATATCTTTTAGTCTTTCTTTTTGTTTATTGATTCTTCCTTTTGAGGCTGACATCTTTTAGTCTCTCTTTTGTTTATTGGTTCTACCTTTTGGGGCTGACATCTTTTAGTCTCTCTTTTGTTTATTGGTTCTTCCTTTTGGGGCTGATATCTTTTAGTCTTTCTTTTGTTTATTGGTTCTACCTTTTGGGGCTGACATCTTTTAGTCTTTCTTTTGTTTTTTGGTTCTTCCTTTTTGGGCTGACATCTTTTGGTCTTTCTTTTGTTTATTGGTTCTTCCTTTTGGGGATGACATCTTTTAGTCTCTCTTTTATTTCTTGGTTCTTCCTTTTGGGGCTGACATCTTTTAGTCTCTCTTTTTGTTTCTTGGTTCTTCCTTTTGGGGCTGACATCTTTTAGTCTTTCTTTTTGTTTATTGGTTCTACCTTTTGGGGCTGACATCTTTTAGTCTTTCTTTTTTGTTTATTGGTTCTACCTTTTTGGGGCTGACATCTTTTAGTCTTTTTTTTGTTTATTGGTTCTTCCTTTTGGGGCTGATATCTTTTAGTCTCTTTTTTGTTTATTGGTTCTACCTTTTGGCTGACATTTTTAGTCTTTATTTTGTTTATTGGTTCTTCCTTTTGGGGCTGACATCTTTTAGTCTCTCTTTTGTTTCTTGGTTCTACCTTTTGGGGCTGACATCTTTTGGTCTTTCTTTTGTTTATTGGTTCTTCCTTTTGGGGCTGACATCTTTTAGTCTCTCTTTTGTTTCTTGGTTCTACCTTTTGGGGCTGACATCTTTTAGTCTCTCTTTTGTTTATTGGTTCTTCCTTTTGGGCTGACATCTTTTGGTCTTTCTTTTTGTTTATTGGTTCTTCCTTTTGGGGCTGACAACTTTTTAGTCTCTCTTTTGTTTCTTGGTTCTACCTTTTGGGGCTGACATCTTTTTAGTCTCTCTTTTGTTTCTTGGTTCTTCCTTTTGGGGCTGACATCTTTTGGTCTTTCTTTTGTTTATTGGTTCTTCCTTTTGGGGCTGACATCTTTTAGTCTTTCTTTTGTTTATTGGTTCTTCCTTTTGGGGCTGACATCTTTAGTCTTTCTTTTGTTTATTGGTTCTACCTTTTGGGGCTGACATCTTTTAGTCTCTCTTTTGTTTATTGGTTCTTCCTTTTGGGGCTGATATCTTTTAGTCTCTCTTTTGTTTCTTGGTTCTACCTTTTGGGGCTGACATCTTTTAGTATCTCTTTTGTTTCTTGGTTCTACCTTTTGGGGCTGACATCTTTTAGTCTCTCTTTTGTTTATTCGTTCTTCCTTTTGGGGCTGACATCTTTTGGTCTTTCTTTTGTTTATTGGTTCTTCCTTTTGGGGCTGACATCTTTTAGTCTCTCTTTTGTTTATTGGTTCTTCCTTTTGGGGCTGACATCTTTTGGTCTTTCTTTTGTTTATTGGTTCTTCCTTTTGGAGCTGACATCTTTTAGTCTTTCTTTTGTTTATTGGTTCTACCTTTTGGGGCTGACATCTTTTAGTCTTTCTTTTGTTTATTGGTTCTTCCTTTTGTGGCTGACATCTTTTAGTCTCTCTTTTGTTTATTGGTTCTTCCTTTTGGGGCTGACATCTTTTGGTCTTTCTTTTGTTTATTGGTTCTTCCTTTTGTGGCTGACATCTTTTAGTCTCTCTTTTGTTTCTTGGTTCTACCTTTTGGGGCTGACATCTTTTGGTCTTTCTTTTGTTTATTGGTTCTTCCTTTTGGGGCTGACATCTTTTAGTCTCTCTTTTGTTTCTTGGTTCTACCTTTTGGGGCTGACATCTTTTAGTCTCTCTTTTGTTTATTGGTTCTTCCTTTTGTGGCTGATATCTTTTGGTCTTTCTTTTGTTTATTGGTTCTTCCTTTTGGGGCTGACATCTTTTAGTCTCTCTTCTGTTTCTTGGTTCTACCTTTTGGGGCTGACGTCTTTTGGTCTTTCTTTTGTTTATTGGTTCTACCTTTTGGGGCTGACATCTTTTAGTCTTTCTTTTGTTTATTGGTTCTTCCTTTTGGGGCTGACATCTTTTAGTCTTTCTTTTGTTTATTGGTTCTTCCTTTTGGGGCTGACATCTTTCAGTCTTTCTTTTGTTTATTGGTTCTTCCTTTTGGGGCTGACATCTTTTAGTCTCTCTTTTGTTTATTGGTTCTACCTTTTGGGGCTGACATCTTTTAGTCTTTCTTTTGTTTATTGGTTCTTCCTTTTGGGGCTGATATCTTTTAGTCTTTCTTTTGTTTATTGGTTCTTCCTTTTGGGGCTGACATCTTTTAGTCTCTCTTTTGTTTATTGGTTCTTCCTTTTGGCGCTGATATCTTTTAGTCTCTCTTTTGTTTGTTGTCTATACATTTGGGGATTGACATCTTGTTACTTTTTCCTTTTGTTTATTGCCTATCGCATTATGCGTGATATATTTTTCCTTTTCCATTTCCCCTTTATTGTCTCTATCTTTGGGGAATTATTTCTTTTGTGTGTTCTTTATTTGTTGCCTCTTCGTTTGGGTTGATATGTTTTTAAACTAATATATCTTTATTGGTTATTCCTTTGAAGGCTAATATCTTTTTAATCTTCCTTTTATTTATTGGGAATCCTTTTTTTTTGATGATCTGTTTTTAGTCTTCATTTTGTTTGTCGCCTATACCTTTTGAGCTAATATGTTTTTCGTTTTTCTGTGGTTTATCGGCTATTAATTTTTTTTCGTCTTCCTTTTGTTTGTTGGTTATCCTCTCTACGGCTGACATGTCTTTAGTCTTCCTTTAATGAGATTGCTATTATTTTGGGAGCTGATATTTTTTTGTCTTTCCTTTTCTCCTTTTGGCACTGCCTTTTGGTCATCTTAGTGTTCATTTTGTTTGTTGGTTATTCATGTTCGGGCTGATATCTCACGTTTGCCTTTTGTTTGTTATTCTGTTTGGGGATGATATCTCTTAGGTCTGTCTTTTGACTTTTGTTCATCTTCTGGAGGCTGATACATTTTTAGTCATCCTTTTTTCTGTTGACTATTCATTTAGGGGATGATAACTTTTTGGCTTTCCATTTTTCTAATCTATTGTGATGGTGCTGCTATGTTTTTCGTCTCCTTCATCACGTTATCGGTCTATTCGTTGCTGACATTTATTCTTGTTTATTGACTCTTCCATTTGATGGGTGCATCTTTTTAGTTTTCTTTAGATTATTGTCGATACATTTGGGTCCAATATCTTTTAAATCTTTCGTTTATTAGCAATAACATTTGAATTATATATTTTTTGAGACTTTGTTTTATTTATTGGCTATTCCATTTCAGGATGGTATTTGTTTAGACTTCGCTTTTTTTATTTGGCCATTCCATTTGGGAATGATGTTTTTAGACATCGCTTTGTTTATTGACTGTTCCATTTGGGGATGATATCTTTTTAGATTTCGCCTCGTTTATTGGCGGTTCCATTTGGGGTTGATATCTTTTAGGATTCTCTTTGTTTATTAGCTGTTCCATTTGGGGGCTGATATATTTTTAGACTTCGCTTCGTTTGTTGACTATGCCTTTTGTGTCTAATATCTTTTTGAACTTTTCTCTGTTTATTGGCTGTTCTATTTTGAGGTTGATAACTTTTTACACTTCGCTTTGTTTATTGGCTATTGCATTTGGGGATGATATTTTTTACACTTCGCTTTTATATTGGCTATTGGAAGAACTTTCGATGTGATAACGGCCAGCTAACTAGTGGCGTTGTCTCCAGAAACCGCCGTAGAGAAGTCAACGGGAAACCACTCCACTATTAATCCCAAGACACATCATGGCAAATAATGCATTATGAAATCTAACAGCGTAAGGGGGGCTAAGTCTATGGAAATTAACACCTCCTCCGGTAAGGACCGACATGCACAACAGGTATCACCTACTCGTCATCCAGCGACTGCTAGCATAAACTTCGTAAAGGGGATAGAAGTCCTCGGAACCTGTCCTTCACCCTGAAAGAAGTCACATGAGCGACAGGTGTCACCGGACCGTCATGAAAAGGCTGCTCGCATCAAACAAAAATAACTCTTGAGACATCGAACGTCAGGACGTTGAACAACTCTATCCAGTTGGAAAACAGGAGATGGGTAACCTAAACATAAACATCTTAGGTGTATATGAAACTAAGTGGCAAAACAACAGTGACAATCACAGGATTATATATGCTGGCGGAGGGGAAAACGTTAAAGCAGTAGGCTTGATACTAGATCAAGAATCTAAGAAACGCGTTCTGGGACACTATCAATTATCCGAAAGAATTCTAGTAGTCAAACTGAAAGGAAAACCTTTTAACATAGCTATCATATTAGTGTATGCACCGACAGCACAATGTAAGGAAGTAGAAATCGAACCTTTCTGCTCCGTGCTAAACCACGCCAAGACTCATTGTAAATCACAAGAAGTGAAATTATCATAGGAGACCTGGAAAGCAAAATAGGCAGGGAGAGGACAAGGGAGAGAGCTGGCAAATTCGGACTAGGAACCCGCAACGAACGCGGTGAAAAATGAGTCCAACGGTATATGGCCAATGACCAGGTAGTAGCCAATACATGGTTCCAAGAACATCCAAGATAATTATGGAGATGGAGAAGCGTAGGAGGAGAAACTAAAATCCAAACTAGCTCCATGAATATCAACAAAAAATTCACAGCAAACCCTACCCAAGTGTCGATTGCAGAAGCGACCATCTCCCACTTATATGTAAACTGAGAGAGAAACTCCGGGAACTGAAGAAGTCCAACGCAGCACCCAAATTTCAATACAACAAACTCCTGAGCGCCCCGAGCCTGAAAAAAAAATATATGGACAATGTGAAAAGAAGATATGAGTGACAAAATGGAAATGGAAACTGAAAATAGGACATATTAAAAGAAGCTTTAGTGTCATCAGCAAAAAATATCATCTTGGACGAGGAAGAAAAAACGAATAGGCAGGAGAAAAGGCAGCTGAAATTCTGTGACACCTAATGAGAAAGGAAGGATTGAAGAATCTGATACTCACAGGGTGGATAGAGGGAAAGATGAACAAGGGAAAGCAACGTGTGACATAACGCGTTCAGCAAGTGGATGACAGAATAGGATCTGGAAGAAATAACAAAAAGACAAAACTTATTGAAAGCTACAAGGGACAGGTGGAGGTGGAGAGCCATGATCGCCTACGTCCTGAAGGGATACAGCACATAAAAGAAGATCACATTAGACTTCGCTTTGTTTATTGGCTATTCCATTTGGGGATGATATCTTTTTACACATCGCTTTGTTTATTGGCTATTCCGTTTGGGGTGGATATCTTTTTACACATCGCTTTGTTTATTGGCTATTCCGTTTGGGGATGATATCTTTTTACACATCGCTTTGTTTATTGGCTATTCCGTTTGGGGATGATATCTTTTTACACATCGCTTTGTTTATTGGCTATTCCATTTGGGGATATCTTTTTACACTTCGCTTTGTTTATTGGCTATTCCGTTTGGGGATGATATCTTTTTACACATCCTTTTGTTTATTGGCTATTCTGTTTGGGGATGATATCTTTTTACACATCGTTTTGTTTATTGGCTATTCAATTTGGGGATGATATCTTTTTACACATCGCTTTGTTTATTGGCTATTCCATTTGGGGATGATATCTTTTTACACTTCGCTTTGTTTATTGGCTATTCTGTTTGGGGGTTATGTAGTTTTAGAGTTCAGTGATAATATTTTTTTAGTCTCTTTTGTTTCTTGACTATTCTTTTTGGGGCTGATATTTTTGGTGCCTGCTTCTGGATATCGTCTAAACATTTGTAGATATCATTTTACTCTTTCGTTTGCTTTATCATTTTAGGGATGATATATTTTTTTAGTCTTCCTTTTTTTTGTTAGTTATTCTTTTGGTGCTGATATCTTTTTAATCTTTCTTTTCTTTTTATTGTTAATGATATAATTTTTTTCTTACTTTTGTTAATTCCTTTTGACGACATTTTTTAATTCTTCCTTTCGTTTATTGCCTATTCCTTTTGGGACTGATATCTTTTAACGTTGCATTTGTTTGCTGTCGATTATTTTGGGCGCTGATGTCTCTTTAGTCCACCTTTTAATAATTTGTTATTTTTTTTTTTCGTCGGGCGGGGGGATGATATCCTTTAAACCTCATTTTTATGACTAGTCCTTTTTATGAGATGATATAATTTTAGTCTTCCGTTTTTGTTTTCCCTGAATTCTAAGATGTGTAGTTATCAGTATTTAAAATATTTATAATCGGTCTGTTGTCTTCATTTTTGTTGTTTTTATCTCCACTTTTCCTTCTTTGTGTCCTCCGGCCTTCATCAAATGTGTATCGATCTGGGCAACCTTGAAGGAATTCTGACCTGAAGCCCTCATTCAATCTTCTCGGGTACACAGTTCTCGTCCCACCGCTCATGACTCAGGATATCTCGTCTAGTTCTTATTTTAATACTACTCAGATGTTGCTCGCTCGGTTCCACTGATTCCAAGTACACACTTCTCAGCCCAGGGATTGAACTCAAAATTACCATGTCACTAAATTCATGTACCACCAGTTACTATGTCACCAGATAACAAATAAACAAACTTTTGTTTCTGTCTATATCTCTGAGATGAAATATAAGATTACTTACATTATTCGGACTGTTATTCTCATCTTCATTGCCATATTCACAACGTTTCGGCCGTTGTACGCTCCGGCCTTCTTCAGATGGACTAAAAACTTGGTGAGTTGAGTTAAAGGAAAATGACTGAGACATCCGGAAGAGGCGTGGCACGTGGAACTAGAACAATCTACCCCGGTGCACGAAATAAAGGGTTCGGTTCGAAATTCCACTCACCTGAAAAAAGCTGGAGCGTACAACGGCCGAAAAACTGTGAATATGACAATGAAGATTAGGATAACAGTCCGAATAATGTAAATAATTTTTTTTTAAGCATTACGCCCAGAGCAAGGCGTGAAGCCACTAGGATGCAGGGGGTTGCAGAAGAATTGGAGCAAGAGTAGATAGGAGTGATAGAAGAAAGAATGAAGAGAGGGATAGTGGATAGATCAAGGTAACTGGAGATGTCGATTGACATTGTAAGTAAACCTTTGTTTGCTGGTTATTCTTTTTTAGCTCACATCGCTTTCATCATCCTTTTGTTTGTTGTTTATTCCTTTTGGGGATGATATCTCTTTTGTTTTCCTTTTGTTTGTTGGCTATATTTTGGGGCTGATAATTCTTTATTTTTCCTTTTGTTGACTGAATTTTCCTTGTTGAATTATCTTTATGCAGACGGTTTGCTCCCAGTATAGGTTTTTAATTATTCTAATATTTTTTGTGTCCCCGAATATGTCAGGGTTGCCAAGAAACTCTAACAAATCTTTGTGGTGTACTTTGTCGAACGCCTTTGCGTAGCCTATAAAACACAGGTGTGCGTTCTTCTGCATTTGTAATGATGTTTTTGATAACATTCTGAGCATGAATATCACATTTCTTGTTCCGGTGTCTTTAACGAACCCGCATTGTTCTTGCCCTACCTCTTGCCCGATTCTTCTGCACGCTCTATTCATCAGAATATGGATGATAAGTTTTGTTATGTGGCGCATTAGGCTGATTGTTCGGTGAAGTTCACATTCATTTGCGTCTGGTTTTTTAGGCAATATGTCCTTGCCTTTATCAGTAACATCTTATCTTCCTTTTTTTTTTTTTTTTTTTTTTTTTTTTTTGGCTGATAACTGTTAAATTTGAGGTATTTTCTTTCCGCCGTGAACTTAATCTCTTTCCTATATTCTTGGGTCTGACATTCATTTTTTTTCCTTGTCGTATATATTCTTTATCATTCCTCCATGTTATAGCTTTCCAAATTTATAACGCAAATTCCGATGAACGGATCTCCCTTCAGGGAAGCACCGTGCCTTGAGAGATGATTGGGCTTTAATCTCACACCTGACCTCAAGTGAAACTCATACATACCTTCGCTAAAGATGCAGCTCCATGTACCGCCACAGTAAGTACCTGACTCTATCCTCTGCCTTTACAAGAGCGATATCAGGCCCAAAATGGAGTATGGCTTGATATTTGGGCGGGAGTTGCCCAGACCACACTCTCGAGGCTCTATAGAGTCCAAAATCGTCTCCGAGTCCTTGTGAGTGACGAATTATTTTCCACCCTCCAACCTCTCTTCTACAGGGGTGATGCGGCATTCCTCTCGCTTCTCTATCGCTACTTTCACAGAAAGTGCTCGGACGAACTACATTCCTTGGTCCTGTCAGTTCTAATCTTCATGGCTACGACCCGCCATGTTACGTACATTGTATCAAATCACCCACATTCCCTCGGTATTCCATAAGTGATAAGTAAGTTCCACTCAAACAGCTTCTTGCCGCAAACAACTGCTCTGTCGAACCAACTCCCAAGATGTTGTTTCCACGATCTCTACAATTTTAAACTGTTCAATTCTAGGGTTAACAGTCTCCTATCCGTGTAAACTAACTCGTAACGTAACCATCTACCTTGTACTGAGTGAACCTTACTGTAAAAAATTCTTTTATTTTAATCTAAAATTCTTGGAATTCGTCAGTATTTCTTTTATATTCTGTCTTCATTTTTTGGGTAATTCTTTGCGCCATGATTTCCGTTTTTGTTGTCCATTATTTTAATTATATATTCCTTATTCTTTGCTTTCCCCTTTAAGTGGTTCATATAATCATTTGAGTGATTTAATTTTCGTTAACTTATTTTTTTTGTTTTCGTCCAATCATTACAATATTTGCTTTCCTTTTTATTTGGCCAAAGTTTTCGCTGGTAAATGTTTTTTTTTTTTTTTTTACTTTCTTTTTTTGCCTGTCCTTCTTTAATATTGTTCCTTTCCTTCATTCGGCCTTCATTTTAGATCTATGTATTTGACAATGATTTCTTTATTGGATTTCCTTTTTTGGCTGACATATTCTTTCTCCTTGCATTCAACTCGCTCTCTTTCTTTATAGAATTCCTTCTGTGTCTGAAATATCCATCGTTCATAAATTTTTTTTTGTGCTGCATAGTCCTTATCCTTACTTTCTTTCATTGGCGTTTATTTGCTTTCCTATTTTCGCTTTTCTAATTTAGATTAAATATTCATTATTGTCCATGATTTTTCACTGATATATCTTTTTCTCGGGGCTTTCCTTTTCTCTCCCTACCTCCTCTAGCTGCTATAATTTTTTTTTCATCATGGCTTTATAAGGATTAATTTATTGGCTTATATTTTTCTTAATTTCTATTTTTGGATTTTCTTTCTTGGCACAAACAGTTTTCTTCTTTTGGATTGCGTTTTTGTATAACATATGTTATGAATAATCAATTTTCCCTTGTTTTGTTACTCTCTCTCTCTCTCTCTCTCTCTCTCTCTCTCTCTCTCTCTCTCTCTCTCTCTCTCCTCTTTGAGAGAGTTATTTCTTAAAGCCTACATCCGCGTACTTTTGTCATTACAATATATTCTTTGACCTTGGCTTTATTTTACACCTCTCGTTCTTAGAATGACATCCTTTTTTATTTCTATTTCGGAAGTTTTTGGCTTCTATATTCTTTGCCCCTATATTGCTAATATATACTACTTATTTTCATTTATTTCTTGATGGCCAAGTTTTGGCTGATATATATATATATATTTTTTACATTTTTTTTTTTTAGCTGATATATTTATTGTCCACGATTTCCTTTTACTGCTTTCTATTTATCGCTTTTACATCCCCTCTTTGTTTACTTTTCTCGCTTTCTTCCAAGAGCTCATGTATTATTAGTCTATGACTTCATTTTTCACTTAACTGTTTTTGTTTGGCGTGTTTTTCCTTTTCTTTTTAACTTTTCATTGACTTTCTATTTTGTCTTTGCTGGCTTATGTATTCTTTATCTATGATTTGTTTCTGACATCTTTTTGTTGACATATTTTGTCCTTGATTTCCTTCTGTGGGTTTCCTTCCAAAAATATTCCTTGATCTTGCAATCCAATTTTGCCTTTCCTTTTTGGCTTTAATATTTTAGCTTCATTTTACCTTTTTTTTCTTTTTGTTCATTTGCCTGATATATTCGATGTCCTAAGATTTCTTTTTGGGATCTATTTTTAACTTTTATATCTCTGGCTTTACCTTTCTCTCTTACGCATGTTTTTGCAACATATTTCAGCTATACGTTCTTTTTCGGCTTTATCTATTGACTAATATACCCCTTGTCATTGATGTCCTTTCTAGTTCACTTTTTTGTTGATATAGAATTTGGATTTACTTTCTTTTTTTTTCTTTTACTTTTCTTGGCATCTTTGCGGTTGGGTTCATTTTTCTGACTTTCCGTTTTACGCTTAATATATTCTTTCGCCTTCATTTTAGTTTCAGGCTAGATTCTTTTAGCTTATATATTCTTTGGCTTTATGTTCCGTTTTTAGCATATATTTTTATCCACTGTATTTTTACCTTTTCTATTTTGGGCTGATATATTCCTTAGACTGGCTTTCGTTTTTGGTTAGCATTTGAAATAGTCATAATAAATAATTTGGACTTAAATGACATGTTTTGGTTCTCTTTTTCTGCTCGATATATTCTACGTATCTTTACTTACGCTTCCTTTTTTCTGATATATTTCTGGTAATATATTTATTTGGCTTCACTTTGCCACCTTTCAGACGAAATTATTTTAAAACCTAACCGTTCGAAAGAGTTGCACAGGAAAAGAGAAAGAAATAGAAGACAAATTGCAGATGAAACTGAGAAGAAATTGAATGCAATGGAAATTTATAATATAATGATAAATAAAATATATTTCGATAACTTTTTGACTTGATCATTCTCGTTACAATATCGACTTCTTTTTGGCGCGTCTAGATTAGAGGTTATTCAATGATAAGTCATTTTCTGTGGAAGCTTTCACCACACCAATATGTCATGAAATTAGAAGCAAGAAATTCATTCTGTAAAAAGACTGTCATCTATCACCGTTCCTGTTTTATCAAGACATTGCTTTCAAAGTAAATCATACTCCGAGAAAAGATGGAGAGCTCACATGCCGAAAAAGTAATCAAAACAGAAATATGTGGATTTATATTGCAATAAATATTTTATAAATTAAATATACTGAGTTATAAAAGCTATCTCACTTGTTGGCTTGTGAGGGCTTCCTTACTTTGCTTGATTCAGCAGCAGCAGCGGAAATAATCAACAGGATTTTATTTTAGCGGCCTCTACACTCAAGGGCCGTTCGTTAAAATTTATCACTTTCAGAGGTCGCGACCTTCAAGCCCAACTAGAAGGGCTACACACATCCCTTTATGCAGAAGACGAGGCCTGTTTTGGCAGCTTGAATTTAAATTTCGCGTTCTTCCCGTGGGAGCCGGCGGAGAAATGTCACTTCCAAACATCCAGCAAAGGAAAACTACACACAACACTTGCTGCAAAAGACGAGGCCTGTCTTATCAGTTTCACACCCGGATTTCTCGCTCCTCACCCTCGTCGAAAGTATCAGAGAAATCTCTCTCAGCAAAAACAACTACTCTACTCAAGAACTTTGTCAACTGAGGAAACTTCATTTTCCACGGAAACTGCTACTATTTGGCACATTCTTTTCAACCAGAAATACAAGCTGTTGAACAGTTATTTTCAAGCACTGAGTTTTTGTTCATTCTACACAAACGACCGAGCACACACACACACACACATACGCAAGCGAAAAAATCATAACAGAGCTTCTATACCACTCAATGCTTAGTACATGTAAACTTTGAGAGAAAAAAACGGGAAAATATTACTGTGATCAAACTAGATTGATTGAATAATAAAGTGAAGTGCTGCAGGGATCTTCCGGGTCAAACATAATGTTCAAAACAACATTGGCTGTATATTAATTCGATTGGATCATGTAGATTGATATCACTCAAACAACACACCTAACCGTGACCAAATGTTGCGATCGAATAACATATTTGGATATATTAATGATATTAAAACTTCGGCATCAAATTTATTCTAAGGGAAATTCTCTCGGACTAAATATAATAAACAAACTGACAGTTTTGATAATACAAATTTGACAAAATTATATAGATTAAAATAATTCTATAGTCACGTTGAGAATTAAAAAAAAATAGATTTAAAAAAATATCAATTTGAATAAATCTTTGATTTTTAATGTATTCTAAAGATTCTCAAAGATCTCCAGGCGGAAAGGCAGCGTTGCAAACGACAGTTGCGATGATAATAATTTGATTAAATCTTATAGATTAAAATTAATGAATTTAATAGAACTTCCGGTTGAAATGTAGTGATCAAATAAACAACGGTGATAATATTAATCTGACTAAATCTCATAGATTGAAATAACTTGAAATAATTACAGAGATCTCCCGGCAGAAATATTGTGATGAATAGAAGAATAGTAATTTTAAAACTTGGGTTAAATTGTGTCAATGAGGCCTCTGGGAGTTAATCAGAAAAAAAGAAAAGGAAAGAGAAAAAGGAGAAGAAAAGAAAAAAAAGGGGGGAAATGAAGGAAAAGTCTGCAGAGAATATGAATGAATTGAGTTGCATTCTTTATTAAATGTAGAATAATCTACCCTGGTGGACTAAATAAAGAGTTCAGTTCGAAATTCCAACGTATATCATATGAAGAAGGTTGGAGCGTACAACGACCGAAACGTCGTGAATATGGCAATAAAGATGACGACAACAGTCCGAGCGACGTAAATAGTGTAAAAAGGACAGGAAGTTGTGGTGAATCATGATCTCTTACGTCTTGAATGAACACGGAACAAAGAAGAAAAATAAGAATTTAGAGATCTCCAAGAGGAAGTGAAATGAACGAATCTATAACTGATAACATTATTTTCATAACATTTTATAGATTGAAAGGTTCTATGTAATGGCAGCCATTACCCAGTTGTAATATAATGTTCAAAATAACAATGGTAATAATATTAATTTGATTAAATCCTTTAGATTGAAATTACTGAAAGAATTTCAGACATTCCCCGGAGGAAACAGTAGTTATAATATTAATTTGATTTAATATTAGAGATTTAAATAATTCTAAGGAATGACAAAGACCTTCCGGCAGAAATATAGCCCTCAAATCAGCGATAGATTGATTAAATGTTATAGATTGAAATTATTCTCAGGAATTGTATTCTATTAACAATAATGGAAATATAAATTTGATTTAATCATTCTACATTGAAATTATTCTCAGGAATTGTACAGATCTCGCGAACGAAACGTCGTGATCCTATTAACAATAATGGAAATATAAATTTGATTTAATCATTCTACATTGAAATTATTCTCAGGAATTGTACAGATCTCGCGAACGAAACGTCGTGATCCTATTAACAATAATGGAAATATAAATTTGATTTAATCATTCTACATTGAAATTATTCTCAGGAATTGTACAGATCTCGCGAACGAAACATCGTGATCCTATTAACAATAATGGAAATATAAATTTGATTTAATCATTCTACATTGAAATTATTCTCTGGAATTGCAAAGTTCTTCCTGTAGAAATATAGCGATCAAATCTTCTTTTATGTGGCGTGTCCCTTGAGGACGTAGGCGAGCATTGCCATCCTGTCACTTGTAGCTCTTAATAAGTTTTGTCTTTTTGTTATTTCGCCCAAACTCTGTTCTACCATCCATTTACTCAAGCAGATCAAGTATGTTACGCGCTGCTTTCCCTCAATCTGTCCTGTGAGTATCACGTTTTCCAAGCCGTCCTTCCTCATTACATACCCAGAAATTTCAAATGTCTCTTTCTGATGTTAAGTATAAGTTTCCATATTGTTTCCATTTTATCCGAAACTTCGTCGTTGCTAACATGTTTGGGCCATAGTATCCTCAGCATCTGTCTGTAGAATCATATTTCTGTTGCTTCAAGTCGCATATCACATAACAATTCAATGCTCCTTTCTTTGTTTTTAACGAAGTTTTCCTCTCTCTTAATACTCTGCTTAGCTTTTGGAATACATCTTTGGCCATTCAAATACGTCTTCGGATCTCAATGTCGCACTTTCCGTCCTCTGTCAAGACGCTTCCTAGATATTTACATTTCTGTACTAGTTTGATTTTAGTGCTCGATTTGCAATTTGCATTTTGAATTCACCCTTTTCTTGTTCATTCTGTCTTCTTGTAGTTTATAATTAGTCCTTTCTTCTCGCTTTCCTTCGCTACCTTCGGTAGAAGATTTTGTACTTTCCTTTCTCTGTCTGCTATCAACACTGTGTCATCTGCATATCTTATAGTGTTAAGATTTTGGCCGCCAATAATGAATACTGGTAGAACTTCTAATTCTCTCAAAATTGCCTTGCTGTATTGGTAGAATAAATCCGGTGAGAAGACACATTCTTGTCTTACTCACCTTTCCAAAATTTTTTTTTCTTATTGATTAAAATATTCTAATTAATTACGGAGATCGCCAGAT